CTCAGTACACAAGTCTCGACGTACGGCACCGTAAAATTCTGGCGTTGATATTTTACACTGTACCTCTTTCTTGGTTTATTTAACGACGTTGTCGATAAATTGGCTTAAACAATAATAAGTTAATGGGATGACCACATGTGGCGCAGTTATAATAAATAAGTTCTGGTCCAGGGGGAGTCAACTTGTCACGAAATGTTACAGCCCCTTTTTGGGAGACGTGGGTGCTTAACGACGTATATACACGATGATATATTTAAACCATTAATCCTTAACGTAATATATGATAGTCGTAAAACTTCTTTTACTTTTTCATATAGCTCGTTCGATTGTAAAAAAAGAAAGAAGTAAAATAAACCGTCGACGCGTCCGAGGCAATAAATGGGTACGTTCACCTAACTAGTGCTGTGGGTGTTTGATTTTATTGTTACGGACGCTTTAACGAGCCTTCTTTATGTGGGCAACCCTACCTGGGTACGTAAGGAGACTGCTGGAAGTTTATGCATGGTATAGACACAAATAAATACATCCATATGCATATAAAAATTTAGGATTGGATAGGAATATAAAAATTGACAAGTAACGTTTTCAATATTCAAATATAATAAAAAATCAGTCCGTACAAACATGTTTTAGTTTCTGAATATTTGTATGAAAATGTTTATATCATTTGTTTAATTAAAGAAACGCGAACAAAACGGTCTGTCAAGTTGATCCAAATAATCCCTGATCATAGTGGTCTTCAATGAGTTTATTTGATTCTTCGTAACTACGCCGTAAGGAAATGTGCAATAATAGTGAGCTAATATAGCAAGTAGAGTTTTTTACTTTCTAAGCCATTGCTTATTATTTTAAATAACTTCTTAAGTGTGCAAAAGTTTGGGAAAAGTATATCTTTGTTCAAATCTAAAAGTAATAAGTAAGTTATCTTAATTACTTAGCTAACCAATTCGTGTCGTCAACGTATCAAGTTACTGAAATGCTAATTGTGGATTCAAAAACAGCTGAAGCCCTAAAACACAACTTGCGTTATCTAATTTCATTGCATCCTTCTCATCGATAGACACCTTTGCAGCGATCTTATTTACCATATTATTATGCTTTATTACGTAATCTAGCTTATTTAAATGTTACCGATGATATAATATTTATATAAATTGATATTGGTATATAAAGGATGATTTCATTACGGAATTTTTCTGTTTATAACGAAAGTAAATGAACAAACTTCACCAGTTTCAGTCCAGAAATATTAAAATACGAAAACACTTCTTCTTTTTTTTTCTTATCTTTATTCCATATAAATGGGGACGGCATAACACAAATTATGAATGAAATAATTAGGAACATTTATGTGTGGGTCACATAAATACTTGTCCCGTGTGGGAATCGTACCCACGACTCCAACCGACGCCGAATCCAATACCTCAGCAATTGCGCGACTGAGAATAAACAGTTTAAAATAATATTAAGGAATTGAAAAAATTATTTTTACTGTGAGCTTTAACTATAATATTTTTATACTTTATTGAAGCCGTTATGAATAATGTTCTTATTCAATTTAAATAATAAGGGCTCAATTATAAGTTACATATTACTTTGTTTAATCTAAAGCAACGGTGGTTTTTAAGGTTTTCAATATATAGTTCTAGTCTTTGGCGATAAAAACGTCATAACAATATTTACGACTGAAAGAAAACACATTTCAAATAACAAAAAAGGACTTATTGCGTCTTGTGTGGTCTTTAGTGGATGGTTACATGCCTTTACTTTAAAAATTAACCGATGTTATTTTGTTAAATATCAAACTAAATGTAACAATTTTAGTTACGGTACGAGATTTGGATTATAATTCAATATATACCGTACCATACCAATACCGTAACCGAAAATATTAAATTAAACTTTCGATCTCGATACATATGTTAAGTAATAATTTAACATATATATATAATATTTTGATCGTAATTCATTTCTTAAGATTCATGCCACGAGCAGTGTGAAACCAATCGTTCCCCATAAGATAACCTTATCGTTTAATGGCCACTTGAGGCGAAACTGGCCGGCCGCCACATAAAATTAAAAAAAAACTATAGTGCGCTCGTCTCGTCCCACCGTCATTTGCATTTCCTGATTGCGATGTTTCTAACAAATTGAGTTTTAAAACACTATAAAAATGTTGCTTACATATTTGACATTATATACTTACACCCAATACTACAATTGTTGAAATTTTCGAAATTAAAATTATATAAAATTGTTATACTTCAATAGGAGTTTTACAAGTCGAATATGATGCGTACAGCATAGGCATATGGCGCAATCTATAACGCAACAAAACGTATAAATGAATTCATAAGCGCATGTAAAAACTCCGAGGTAGTTGTAGAGGTTAGTACTACAAAAGGTTATCGACCTCTGTTTATTATTATCGATTTCTGTTGCTAAGCATATCATATTCCGCATATTACAAACTGGTTTCGAATCCCTTAAAATATTTGGATGCAATTTATTATTTTAAAGAAAATAGTGTGAAATATAAATATTTTAAAATTTTTATCACGCCAGTTTTTTTTATACATAATGAGACAGACATGTTTAAAACATTACAGATATCCATGATCTTGTGCAAGAAAAGCCTCGGAAAATAAACATTTAATTAATTAAATAAGTACTATAAATCATACACTGTATTTTGTAATTCTGTATGCTAATTACAAAAGTAGTATGTTGATAATTGTTATGCATTTTCGAAGCATATTTTATGCATATATACAAGAAATTCAGCTGTCGGAGTAAACACGAATATTTGTGAAAAATTGTAAATATTTATAGCTTTATTGCGTTTAACGTTTTATTAAATTAAGTAAACTCGGTGAAAACACATTACTTTTTCCGGTCCTTTTTGTTCTGTGTGTTTCACAAGTAACAGACGCATTAAAACAAAAATGTGCCTAATTATCACAATGCAAATCGTACAAACATTAGTAAAATGTTAGCTAACACACGTGTTGGCGTCGGAGGCCGGATCAAACATGCAAGTAAGCGAACAAACATGAATGTTTGGACTATCGCCACTTTCGGTTCTGTTCAAACATGGGCCGTTGTTTGTTCAAGTGCTAGTGACACGCCACCGCCAGGATGTGCATCCAACTTAAGATGAGCTCAAAGTATTCGTTCGAAGCCCTCACGCTTCCCATTTTTTTATTTATCGTGGGGGTTCGTAAATATCTGGTGTCGGCTTAAAACAAGGCGACACTTTACTCGTTAGAGGTGGGATGGATTTACCTGTCAGAGTTCTTAACAAGTTAAGTAAGGGGTTGACAAAAGATATATCTTACGTGGAACACTCCTGAATTTCAAAGTAAGAACAAAATTAGTGTCGTTATAACGTATATGTCATTGTAACAGAATTTTTTTGCCAAAATTTTCTTTAGATAAATAAAGGTAAACTGGATTTTAATAATTAATAAACTCGAAAGAGTAACTACTCAGGCTAGTTTATTAATTGAATAGGGATGTCAATCAAGCAATTGCTTGACTGACATCCCTATTCTTTCAATTATCAATTCCACATGTCCAGAGCAGTCAAGTATGCCTTTTCAATAACTATGCCTTTTCAAACTTCATTTACTTTCGACCTTGCCTTATCTCACAGCAGCAAATATTTTCTTTTTTATGAAGAACAAATTTAAATTTAAATTCAAGATGCTTTTAATATTCCTTCATCACATTTTTTGCCAAAATTATTTAATTGATGGTAAATAACAACCAAATCTAGTGCCACCTGACAGATACGTTTGCAGGTCTTCCAAGACGTCAAGTCTATTCTGTTCCTTCCCAGATTTCTGAAACGCACTGAAAGAAGACCGTAAATTGATGTAACATATTATCATACCTAGTTATTTTTTAACTTGAAAAGGGTGCACATTTTGCATGTAAAATACAAATATGGATTAAAAATAAGGTTTTACTCTGAGACTGGTCATAAATCTCCCATTCGTCCTCATAACTATTTTAACGAACTTGTTTGCGCGTTGTTGCAGTGGCAGATGAATAGGTTTTGCTATTATCATAATGGCACTCGCCAATCCACCTGCCCTAACAGCTGATGCCTCACGCATACCTTAACCTCCTGGGTGACTCTTTAATTACAACAGTGGCCCAACATTTATCAGGAGCGTCGTTAAACACGTTCATTTTCGTAATAAATTTCAATTGCACGTAAATGTACACAATTAAATAGTTGTTAAATTGAGTTTTTTGATTTTTTTGTGCTTTGGTTTTAAATTTAAATATGGTCCGTCGACATTCAAAGATATTTATTTACCACTTTACTTTTGAAATAATATACCGATATGGATTTATGAATTCATTATTTATTTTTGAGACTAGTAATAACTAGTAAAGAGTATTTATGTAATAAAAATTCTCATAGCTTTTATTGCTTGTGCCCTCATAAGACTTTGATAACGGTAATTTGCATACGAATAAATGTTTAACCTCTACCCGTAATCAACCCTACAACGCCATAGCACAAATCTTGAAGGACTATATTAATAAATTTATTGAGTTTATATATAAATATGTATAAAGGCAAAGGCCCGTCTCATTTCTCATACTTATGTTCTCTCTTGACTCCACATTCAATTATCAATTTTAAAATAAATGGAGAGTGGGTAATACATTTTAAACAAACCAAAAAGATATTTTATTAGCAGACGGTCCATCTTCCTTTCATAATACGTGTAGGTTATTTTTGTGCTGTCTTAAAGGTTTACAGGTGTGATCCCGGTTACATCACGCACCGTACGAAACTGAAAAGTAAAATAAGATATATTTATACTTTTCTGGTCAGATTATTATAGTTTTCAGACTTCCCCGGACAACAAGTGAAAGCTGCTGAACGTCAGTAAGGTTTCACGTAAAAATAATTAATAGGAAATAACCGTTGTTACAGTTAGGTGGATGATGAGGTAAAAGAGGCCTACATTTGCTTACAGGTGGGTGGTTGTAGCTGGTGCGTGGAGGGCCAGCGTTCTCCGGCCACCAGCTAACCCTGGGACCGCTCGCAACGATCGACACTCCTCTCTGCTCCAACTGGCGGCATGGGGCGTGCCAGCCGCTTTAGCCGCCGCTGTACTAGTCACCAGGGACGTAGACGCGGATGAACTTACTGGTGAGATAGAGCAAAAGTATTTTCCTATTAATAGCGATTGGAACCATTAAATGTAATTAGATGGCCTTGGCTGTGTCTAGCACTCTTAAAACGAAACGCAAAAGGTCTTCTGCGTGGCCGTGGAACTTTCTCGGGCCTGCCTAATCGTGCAACAGTAGAAGCTTCGGCATGGCCCTACAACAGTGAAAAAACACATGTTCCCGGTAGCTTAGGCACCTGCCCTGTAATCCATACTCATATATAGGGTGGTCAACGATAGGGATTTTATTGGATAGGAGCTGTGTCACCACCCGAGAGACAGCGTTATCTTTTCAAGATTCCCCCCGCCCCTCCCCACGATAACAAGAATGAAGCATCTAAAAAATGTAAATAGTCTCGAAGTCAGTAGAAGCCTCGCCCTGAAAACCTGCCCTATAATAAGATGGAAACTTCATCTAATTCTTATAAATTCGACATTCTTCTATCGTAGGAATTTTTCATATTTATAAATGTACAGAGTGCTTTAAACCTTTAGAAAAAACGTTTTCTTGCCATGAATGATCGCATTATTCGAAAGCAATGAATCAATACAATTCTAACTTACATCCGTATCGACGGGCCACAATGACGACAGCGATTCTTCGGTTTAATGTTCCCTCCTTGATTATTTGATCGGCGGCATTTTCAAAGCGATTAAATCACATACGAGTGCGCGGGAGCATGCGTTCATACAATAATCGCTTTGAACGTTTTGTCTTCAAGTACCCACCGCTTCTATTCAACCATGGATCCGTAAATACTGACTCCCCTGGTTTTAAAAAAAAAACATCTTAATTCTAATTCAGAGTCGAAATTTCATCAATCTGAATAACAGAAACCTGTTTTGTATTACAAGTTTAATAATTGGTATCAAAACTGATGCGTAGTCAGTAAAATCAATCAATTAAAAAAAAATTTAAACTTAAAAAATATTTATTAATACTATGATTAATCTGGCAACAGAGATGATTTGAGTTCCTAAAAAATTTAAAATAATAAAAATTGTGCGGCAACATTGCTACACTTATGTCTTCGTGTACTCGTGCACTAAACTAACGTTTTAGTTCTTAATTAAAAAGACATGCGGCATTTCAATGGCGCCGCAATGATTATTTCATAATTTTTCGTAGATAAGTACACAGTTATATCAGAAAACATATTTATCTCGGACCAAGCGTCTCGTTGTCTCGGTGTTTAGCCGCGAAGTTTACTTAATTTTTACCGACGCAGGTGACTGCAACTTACGATAAAACTATCAAAGCAGAACCGGCCTTTAATTTAAACCGCCTCTTCTAAGGCTAATCATAGTAAATAAACACATGCATTTCAACTTTTTTATTTTTTTAATTCCTTAGGTTTGTGCCTGGGTAGTGGGTACCTTTGTTACAAGCGACTATTTCGTACTTTTTGTTTATCTATCTAAATATTGTTCATTCTTCTTCAACTCATTGTTGCTACATGTAGGTCTCGAAACATTTCTTCTCTTTGAAAGCGGTGTGAGTGAAGTGCCCTATAGTTCGTTTCTCAGGCATATTGCAGTTTCAATCTGGCCGAGCGTATTGTCGTTTCATTTTTATTATTTTCGATTCCATTATACTGGCCAAAAGAAATGCGGCGGCCATTATTCGAGCCGTTAAATACGACACCTTTCCAACTCGCACGCTCGTATTTCAATTTTAAATCGGCCCTTTTAGCCGCTCGCCTTATTAATGCGAGCCTTTTTTCTCGCCGGCTGTTTGTGTAGGTGTTCGCTTTGAGAGCTGCTTTATTAGGAAACGGAATGTTATTCAGCGCGATAAATAGCACTCTCGAGAGAAAGACCCCATATCCGCTTTAGTAAATGCGGGATGCTCTAAATTTCATTGCTCTCTGTTTTCCAGGCACATGTTTCGTGGGGAACCAATCGAGTAAGTCGTTGCTCGCCTTGGTAATCATACCAGAAGCGATTTGTTTGCTCCTCGGCAGCGTGTTCCTGGCTTCGGGGCTCCGCGCGATCCTGCAACGGCCGGCGCCCGTTCCTGCTCCAACAGCTCTCCTGAACACACCCCCACAGCCACATACCGACCAAAGCTTGCTGCGACTGGGCGCGTTCGCAGCGCTTTACGCCGTCCCGTCCACCTGCATCCTAGTCACGTGGATATACGAGTACACATGGCGCGACGACTGGCTCGCCGCCCCCGTCCCCTCGATGGAGCCCTCGACGCAGCCGCGTCCCGCTTTCTGGGTGTTCTTATTTCGAATTTTCGCAACTCAAATCCTAGGCGTCATGGTCGCAGTGTGGATAGCGACGCCGCGCTTGAAAGCGCTTTGGCGCCGGATCTCGGGCCCCACGAAGCCCGCGATGGCGAAGTGTCCGGCCGGCCCACCTCAAGCTCCATTAACGCTGCAGTGCTACGCCGCCCACGCGCACACACTGCCGCGACACCCACACAAATACGCGACGTACAGACCGCCGCAACACCAATCGTACAGGAAACCGAGGCATTACCATTATTCGGCTGGCGAGACCATTCTATGACCGCGTCCTCTCAAATACACTACAGTGATCCAATTTCGTATTTGCTACAAAAATTATCGTGTAATAATTATACAATCGTGTACAATATATTATTGTCTTATAATTGAGGTGTATAAATAAAGATAATAAGTGCCATTGAAAATAAGTCTGTTAAAGGTAAGGTTTGTGACTAAAGGTCGCTCAGATGTGGCTTAATCTGCCTACTAGGGTTAAATATCTGAAAAGGTTGTTTTACTTTTAACATTATACCTATGTAATTTTTGTGCTATCTAAAATAACATTTTTAATTAATAGTAAGTTATTTATGTAACAATACTGTTGTGAAAACATTGCTGGAAAAAAATTGACAGTGTAATAATGCCATTGTGAAAATTAAACGAAAATTATTTAATTCTTGATTGTAACACTTTTTCGTGTTTTTATAGTCAGCGATAGACAAGCTGTCGGTAACGATGGTTCTTCGTTACCTAAACTAAGTAAGACCAGATACGATAACAATAATACTTTATACCATACTACTAGTATAAAATATCTCTGCAGATAAGGACTAGTCGCATATTAATACTGTCAATTATAAAAGATTTTAAATATGACACTAGTATAATTTAACATTGCTGATTTGACAACAAGTTCTTTATTTTAAATTAATTTCGCCTGACCACTTACCAATATTTTAATAAGAAAGGGTTTCGTCTCCTATAACAATTGTGATTAATTTAATTTTACCTATGAATATTTATTATTATTCTTAGAATTTAGAAAAAACAATGTATTGAATATTTACTGTGCATGATAATAATATGTATATTTATTAACAATCGGTAATATTACTATAACTGATATTCAAATTAGAAATAAATTTCGTAAATACAATCAGTAGATAGGAAACCCACCTCATTTACCAAAACCAGTGACCTAATAATGTAAATTCGTTGTAAATAGTTTCATACTAAGATAAGAACATTGTACATATAAATAAATAAGTTATAAACGTTCAAGATGTTTCATTTCCTAGCCCTATAAGTTCTCTTTCTAAGGAAGAATATGTCGGTATTATGCCGATCATATTAACAAAGAAATTGTTACTAAACGAGTTTTAAGGAAAAATTGTGTTACATTAAACAGGCTCGATATTGTTTTATCATTATCACCTGTTTTTTAGGGTATGTGGGCAATAAAGTTTTAACACTAAATATTTTAACCAAGTAATTGTATTTTATTAAACAGTAATAAACTCTGATGCAGTTAAGACAATCTAAAAGTGGCCAATGTGGTTTGACCTCCCATTCAAAATCAACACATTCGTCTATTTGACATTTCCAACGAATATCTTAGTTAAACCAGTCATAACGTCATAGCTAATTCAGAAGTTCAAGTCCGGTGGCACTGGCATTCAAGGACTGCGCATCCGACATGATCCGACTGACAACGATTTAATGCCCCGGTTTAAATAATTTAACTCACCCGATGTCGCCCGATAGGTGTGGATAGGTTCCACTATCGATTGCGCTTCAGGTTCAAAATCAAAACTCGGCAAGAAGTGCCCTTGCATTTTGCATCGTGTCGTTGACACTTACAAAAGATATTGAAAGGTGGACTAACATTTAGCAAGGCCCGCTTACAAGGGCCGCTTATTAAATGTTAGTCAATCTTTTGTTATCTATATAGGGATCGCGGAGATGCAGCGGGGCAGAAGTCGTCATCATGTCATTAAGTCCAGCAACCTCTGCTAGTATGTTGTTCTCTTAAGTTCGCAAGTCGTCTGTCTGTGGAGTGGACATCCTCCAACGAAGCTGTTAGTGCAGAACAGCAAACTGCAATAAAAGTTTTATTTTATTAAAAAACTATGAGGTTTTTAAAAGTTTATATTATGGCAACAAGCTCCGATCCGATTGATTTATTTGTATATCTGTTTTAGGGATGCCGAAAAAATATCGATTTATCGATATTTTTAGCCGATATATTTTGATCCGATATATTTTGATCCGATATAAAATATTCAATACAATTTTTTGACAACAGAGCCTAAAAAGAAAATATCTTATAGATGTTATCACTTCGATATATCGAGGCCGATTTTTTTTACTTTCTTAATGATATTTTTATAAATATCAATAAAACAGTAAAGTAACAGCCTATACATATCCCACTGCTGAGCAAAGGCCTTCTCTTTTACAGAGAGTATCAACGCATAGTACACCACGCGTCCCCACTGCGGATTAGCGAATTTCACATATCTTCGATTACATTTTTTTGTTGTTATTTCGAAAATATCCAGGTTTCCTTACAATGTTTTTCTTCACCGTTGAGCAAGTGATAAAGTTAGCACTTAAAATTAACAATTTCATTGGTGCTGGAACCGGGGATCGAACTCAGGTTGCTCGAGTATATTGATTTAATTGAATTAAAGGTGAGCGCCCGGACACTGAGCCATCATGGCTCTCGATATATCGATATATTTTTCACTTTCGGCATCCCTAGTCTGTCTGTGGGGCCACAGTCGCAAAAGGCAGGGCTGCTTTTCCCCTCAAATTTCGGGGATAATAAAACGCGTTTTTTTAGGAGCGTTATATTTTAAGGGTTATTATTTTAGGGACTTTTTTAACTTCTTATGTATTTTCCTACGTTTTGTTTTTGGTTACTTTCTTTGATTAAGAAAAATAAAGGTATAAATTTAAAGGGACTGGAGTAACACTATCTCCCCAATCATGTTTATTTGTTGACCTAGCGACATCTAATACGGTTTTTCATTATCAAGAGTTGAACTTTGGAAAGTAGAGATTAAAAGTGTCCATCAAAACGCATTGAATAGCGGTAGCGTAGGATAAATTTTAAGCACAATTTATAATGGTCAAGTGTTATGTAAAGTCTTATTTCTATATATTTTATATTTAAAGGAAACTGTTATATTTTCCTTTTTGAAATGATTTACGTGTGTGCATTTTATTAAGTTTCGTACCTGTATTAGTATATCTACTAGTAAAATAATTTAGTTTGGATAAATATAAATCGCTAGAATATCCAAGGAGGGTTGATCAGGCGGCCGGTCATAAAAATAAAGCCAATAAGTGAAATAATAACACGGTTTCGAAAATAAATAATGGACATGTTCTGCCGACCCCACCTAGTATGGGACAAGGGCAGGAGAAAGAAATAGTACTATGTAAAGTAGACAAGTACAGTGAGTGGGTAGTATAAACCGTCGGACAGTGGCGAGTCAACTTGGCTTGCAAGCTAAAGGCCCAAATAGAGTAACCATCGCGCGCCCGCTTAACCCCCGCGGGGCACTTGACTCGTCGCTTGCCGTAGTTTAAACAGTGAAATAAGTACATTGGCTGGCAACAGGTAACAAAATTTACACGTATCGCTCGTTCATTTCTCTGTCTAATGTCACTGTACTTCCTGTAGCGTAAACAGCCACTTGTCTGGTGCCCGTCACTCGCCACTGTACTTTTATTCGCTACTCGTCACTGTCCTTGTAAATCGGGTTTTAAAGAAAGCGCCAAAAGTAAATAAAAACTTTTATCATTCATTATGAATCACATTTTTGAAATAACGGTAAACATATTGTTCGTCTAAAGAAATCATCAATAGACAATCCATGCTTTTATAATATTATAAAGGCGACAGTAACTCTATCTGTCTGTCTCCCTTTAAATTACTGAACAGATTCCAATGAAATTTGGTACACATATAGTCTGAGAAAGGATTTTTTAATTGGAAAAAAGTATTGTAAAGGGTTGAAAACGGTAATAAAATGTTGTATGAAAGTATTGTCATTTTCAAGACAAGAAGCATAAAACTTATATTTTAGGCTGTTGATTAGATATAAATAAATTTGGTATTCAAAGTTTGTAAAAATTTTACCCTTAATGCAATAGCTGCCGTTGTTTGTATGTGATTGTTATAAGAAGTGCCATTTCCTAGGTAGGTACGGTATCAGGGATTTCACGCTAATATGTGGCATCAATGCAAGGGATGGAAACCATATTATGATTGACAGTGATTATTGTTATTTTATGCCATAACAATTCATCTGGTGTGTTGTCATCATATACATATATACTTTACTTTCAACTAATAATAATATACTTTCAACATAGAAGAATAATTCTTCTATGTTGAAAGTTAAAATTAAAAAGTGTACCTATGTAAACAAACTATCCCTACTTTTATGATATTATGAATGCGAATTTAAGTTTTTTGTAACGCTTTCAATTCAACCGATTATCATGAAACTTTAAAAAGGCCATAGGCTTCTTTTTATTAAAAAATAAATATTTTTTAAAGAAAGATATTTATTTAAGGTATTCAACGCGAGCGAAGTCGCGGGTGAAAAGATAGTTTTTTATAAAATTAAATTCCTTATAATTTTTATTTAAACACTTATTATAAGACAAACATTTTCACTGCAACATTCTTGACTGTATTACTATTTTCACGTGCAAAAGGAAAAAATCTTTGCGCTATTTATTATTTACAAGTTTTTTTAATAATACTATTTTAATAGGGGTTTTTGACTTAAACTATGGGACAAATGTTTTAGAGATTTGGTAACACTGTCAACAGGTTACTGGCAATAAAATCATACAGGTAACTAGGGATGTCGACAGTGAAAAAAGATATCGATATTTATAAAAATATCAATGTCGGCCTCGATATATCGACGTGAATCGTTATTTTCTTTCAGGCCCAGTTGTCAAAAAAAGTTCGTATGCCAAGTATTAAATTTTTGAATGTACGAACTCTGTCCGGGATTCAAATTTGAAAAAAATATCGTTTTTGATACGATTACGATATTGAATACTATGTATCGATATATTGAATCAAAATATAAAAATATAATTGCTAAAAATACCGATATATTTTATAAAAAATATCGATATATCGATATTTTTATATAAAATATCGATATATCGATATTTTTACGGCATCCCTACAGTTAATATTAAGTTTATGTTTTGTAATTACAGCATTAAAATTGATTTTTACAGAATTAAGAAAAGTATCCCCAATTATTAAAGTTATTAAAAGATAATGTCTTCATTATCTCAATTATGTCGCCTAAGTAATTATGTAGTAGGAAGTTATAAAACCTATATTCACTCAAGGTATGTTATGTTATAGGTTATAACGCTTATTTATGTACGAATTATTATAAAAAATTACCTAGCTTATTACTGATTTATATTCTACTATTCTAATACACAAATAGTTTTTTAAAGAAATTTAAAACAATATTGTTTTTAATAGGCACGATATATAAATTTTTCTTTCTTCTTTGCATTTACAGGACCACCTGGCTAAATAGTATACAAGTATGTAGTTATACTAAGAAATCAGCCGAAGCCAAGTTAGGCATAGAAAAACCTAAAAGGCCTTTGACTCCGTTTTTTAAATTTATGACACAAATGAGACCGGCACTACTTGCAAAAAATCCTGGAATCTCTTCAAAAGAAGCTATTGCATGGACTTCAAAACATTGGCAACAACTAGATACAGAGGTGTAAATTATTTATCTTTGTAATAATACTGCCAAAAATTGTTACGGATAAAATTATTAATATTTGACAACATCTTTGTTTTAGATAACAATAACCTACACATGTTTTCCTTAATATGCATCTTATTTTCAGACAAAAACACAAATGGTTAAGGAATATGAAAAAGATCTAGAGGATTATAAGAAGATTAAGGCCATGTATGAGGCTTCCCTGACAGAACAACAGAAAGAAGACATTAAAAGAGTAAAAGCTGAAATGGCTGCATCAAAGGAAAAGAGGAAATTAAAAGCTGTAAGGTTTTTTAAACTTGCTATTAAAAAAATTTTTTTTATTTTATTATCATTTTTTTCTAATTTATTCCTAATACAAAATGAAATTCTTGGAACTATTGATATATTGCTACTATTGTATAAGCTGGATCAATCAATATCCTTTTTAAATTTATAATTTTTTTAGTTTTACATAAAACTGATCTTAGTGGATAGCTATTGGTATTATGCCATAAGTTAATATCATGTTTATTTTGTAATTGATAGCAATGTATTCCAAATACAGGAGTTAAAAGAATTGGGCAAGCCTAAAAAACCAATGTCATCTTATTTCCTATTCACACAAACAAAAAAAGATTTGTTTAAAGGGAATGAAATGAAAGAATACCAGGAAAAGATCAAAGCTGACTGGTTAACCTTACCAGACAGTGAGAGAATAAAATTTGAGAAACAAGCTCAAACATTAATGGAGAAATATAAGTAAGTAAATGACTGGGTTCTTGGTTTGGTGTTAACAAATAAGATAAATGATTTTTAACTTTACTGATGCGTAATCTTGTATAGGTACATTAGGCAATTTTGTATGTGAAAAAACACATAAGTTCATGTAACCTTACGTAACATGCTAGATGTCACATTTTGTAATTGACAATGAAAAAAATTCAAAATTATTCTTTATCAGAGCTTTGCTAGAAATGCAATAGATTGAACATAGAAAGATTTTTAGATTTCGCACTGTGAGGTCATCGGCTGCTTAGTTTAGTTGCTAAAGCGTCTTGGCACAAAACCAGAATATGGAGGTTCAAATGCTGCAGCGCCAAAAGTTACTGGTTATTTTTTTTTAAATATTTAAAATTTATATATTATCTAATAAACATGTTCCACAAGGCATTCTGGCATGTAGGCATTATATCTGCAGTCCCCATCATTAATTTAAATATAAATTTAAAAAAAAAATAATAAATAAATGTTTTATTACATCCAAAAAAATATTAATAATGAAACCCTTCATTTCAGAAAAGACTTAGAGGCTTGGGAATTGAAAATGATTGCAATTGGACGTACAGACTTAGTACGCCAGAAACCGATGGCGCAAACGAAAAAGACGAAAGGCGTAAAACAACAATAGGAACTCGGGTGCTCTGACGTATCTAGTGACATAACAGAATGTAATGTAAGACAAAATATTTTAGATGTACAAAGTATTAATAAGGAAGGACATAGCAGCACTAGTCATAATAAACTAGCAGAAGAGTCTTCACAAAGTGATGTTACAGCCAGTATTCAACAAAAAGAGCATACAGAGTCACAAGAACGTCAGAGTACGGGTGAAACAATAGCTGAGAAAAATCAGCCAGAGTCAAAGCAAAGTAAGAATATGATTGATAGCATTAAAAGATTTTTTAAACTCTAGCTTTTCTATATTTTATGTTAATCTTCATTTAAGTAATAATATTTTTTGTCCATTAACTATCATTTATTAATAAAAAATCTCTAGATTCATTATTAGAATGAAATTAGTATTATTTTGTTTTATTTCTGTTTGCCATTATGAAATTACTGAAAATTTTCCATTTTATTAAATGCAAATATTTCACTCGATAAGTAAATATTATACATATTCGTGTATCATAGAAATCATACTAGAATTATAGATTAAAATTTAGTGTCTGTTGTATGACATATCATGGTACCTATATTTAATTAAAAATTATCTTATTGTAGTCTCAGTTTGAAAATGTTTATTCAAATGTGTCTGAAAATTAAACATGCATACATTAGATTCTCTTAAATGATTTAAATCTTTTTTGGTGACAAGTATTATCTGATAAATTACCTGCCAGGCTAATATTAACTAGAGAAAAAAATTTTAACATCATGAGAACTATTTGTGTGACCCATAGATAATTGTTTCAAATAATGAAAAGAAAAAAAAAAAGACAGCTAGAACTCAGTTCTCTTTTGTGGTACCTCTATAAGTACACTACTTGTTATAAATATAACAGAACTTAAGTGACTCTACTTTATTTTTGCTAGTTTTTTTCCGTTTGTAAAAGAATTAAAATAACCAAATTTCGCTAATCGTAACAATTGTTTTTTTAGTATTTGTTTCATTGGGTAATTAGTATAATTTTAAAAATGCCAGTAAAGTTTGCCAGTTTTTTCTATACCACTTATTTTTTTGGATTTTATGCATGTTTTAGGCTGTACTGGAATCATTTTTATTGAACAATAATATTCATAATAGTTACATAAAGTAAATTTTTACTAAAATCTGAACTTTTAACATATTTATTCATAATAGAGCCCTTCCCTTTGAACTATACTGTTAATATATGAGTAAAACTTAAATAAAATATTTTTGTCATAGCAAGTTTTTCGTTATAACAAAGGATGTTATAGTTTACACTGCATACTTGTTATTTAAATATATATTATGTATCATTTCTTCAAATAAATATATAATGCAAATTTGTTTTCGTAACTAATAACTAAAAACTAATTTTATTGCTTGCATTTCAGTAGTACAGTATGGAAAAAAAAACAAACAATGAAACACAGAAACACTTTACTAAAACATTTTTATTCAAAATTTTACAAAATATATGTGATTAATAAAAATAATGTCTATTTTTTATTGCATATTTTTTTCTACATAAAAATTTTATGTAGCAACCACTAGTTATATTTCAATATGCATCATAGAATAATTTGTGAATCACATATTTTCAAACATCACAAATATATGTTTGGGAACAAGAAGACAAGATAAATAGGTAATATGTGATGTTTACAATATCATTTAATATCTTTAATATTATTCCAAATTGTGTGGATTAATCAGTGTTGTAGAGGTTCGATGGGAGAAAAGCCTAGATTCAGAGATCCAAGAAAATGTTTTGTGTGTTTTTATGTCACTACACAAACAAATAATTAAAACAAAGTCATAAATCTTATTTCAATTTAAATTGCTTGTAACAATTTTAGTCTTGTTATTATTAAATAAAGACTATAAGGTAGATTTATAGAGGAATTGCATGAAATTATTTCATATATATGTAAAATGATTCTTCATTGCTTTTTTATGATCACTCCAATTATGACCAATGGGTGACCACTAGTGTATATAAAAGCTTATTTCATCACTCACAGAATACCTGATACCTGTGATATAATGATACAAAATATTGCAAACGTTGTAATATTAATGCATGTAATTTTAAAACACTAATGCACCTCAATAATTAATGAAAATTGGAATAAATTATATAAAGTAAACCATTTAAAATTTAAGTGAACATTAAGGGTGTGCAAAAATCCAAAATGTAATAAACTTATGAATATTATAAATCTTTGGTTCAACTTTTGTAATGTTCTGCTATGCATTTTATTTTATAACAGTTATAAGGCCTATAAACAAAAGCTGGCTCTACACCTTTTTCTATTTAAAACATGAAATTATTCAAGGTGTACAAACATAGAATATTTATAAAAGTTGCATATATAAAATCTATTTTTATAAAGATTAAAAAAGAACAGGTTTAAATAGGCTTATCACTGATGGTACCTTTTTTAAAAACAGGTGTAGCATATCAAATCTAAGCGTAAAGTAAATGGTTTTAATCATTTGTGACATTATCTAGTATGTAAGGTAGTACATGCTAGGCCTTTAAATGAAAAATAAATTCATTCATCAACATAGCACTTGAGCATTCTATCTATAGTACATTTGGAATATATGGTACAAACAAATACAGTCTCCACAGAATTTCATCATGATGATAAAATTTTAACATTATAACTTAATGCAAAGCAAAGTTGTTAAAATGTACATACAAAAATACAATAACCTGAAATAACTATACATATAACTTTAAATGCAATATAATAAGACATATCACTAAACATTTTATCTATAGGTTACATAATGCTGTTGCTTTGTTGAGAAATGAATAATGAGCTGAAGTAATGAGATTATAAAAATATTTTTGAATGATTTGTAACATTATAAGAACTTTATAATCTGCAATATACATGGCATTTTTGAAGACAGTTGTAAGATAATAAAATAAACAAGCCAAACAATATCAGAAATAAGACATATGCTAAGCTCGAAATAGTATCTGTGAATGCGCTGAAAATGTCTATTATCATAATAAAGGGGCAAACCAATTTACAATAGGGTTTTTACAGTCTTACAACAGTCTTTCTTTCTATTGACAATAATGGAAGTTATCAAAATAGTTTTAACTAATAAAAATTAAGAAAACCCTCCTCAACACAGGTGCTTATGTATACTTAGATTTTAAAATTTATTAACAAAAATTTACATGTGATATATGTACAATTTGCTGATATTACAACTAAAATGGCAATATGTGACTAAAACTCACATTTGTCACAGTTTCTCACTTTAAAGGCACAAGCAATCAAAATGATGATAATACTCTATCTTATCCCCTATAATCCTTCGATATATACTGAATACAAATGAAGTCAGTAAAATTCCTCCAAGCAAGTGGTACTTTTCATAACAATACATAGTGATTGTATGCATATTGTTGTAAATAAAAAAACACAAACATCCCTTGAGAATAACATAACCACCTGCATGACATTCGTAACAATATTCACTTGCCTTATGGACATACCATTTAAAAGTAAAAGGGCATTAGCAACATTTGAATTATTCTGTTTGGGCAATAATATAACTTTTGAGACAATGTATATGAACAAAGGGAGAAAAAAATAAGTCTTTTCGAAAGTTAAAATGGAAAACCCATATAGAACTTGTAAAAATAGTGATAGCAAAACTATATCATACTTGTAAGTGACAAGTTTATCCAATAAGGAATTCTCTGTCTCAGTGTCAGATGTTGATACAAAAGCTGCCAAGTCATTGGTTACCTCTATGCCGTTTGTTTCATTTGCACTTGTAAATGATTCAATTTCACTATTGACTATACCGTTATTTACGAAACACGTGCTAGCAGTATTAACCTCGGTTATAAATGGCACGTCAACATTTTGATCTGTTATAGGAATTCTGCGCGGAGAATCTGAAAAATAATATTATTGAAATGTCAATAAAAACTTATAATTTTATTATGTCATCGAATTAAAGAGTAAACTTTACCTTTGTAACTTTCGTCATCGATTTTTCCTGATATTAGCTGTAATCTATTATGCGAATTTTCTAAGATTCTTTTCCTTCGTGCCTCACGGCGTGCTGCTGCTGCATCAGCCATATTACCCACAGAGTACTTTGTATTTTGTATTTGGTTGATATTACCAATTTAAACTTGACAATTTTGACATAGGTAAATAGTCTATAACTCTATAGATTTGTGACAATGTGACAGAAGAATGAAGATAAATAAGTCCCATAGATAAGTCAAAAGTATCCTATCCTATGAAAAAATAAGTCGTATATTGTATTTTTGTGTAAGTTACCAGTGGTAGAGCCACACAGCAGTCTACGCTGTAGCACGAATGGGCACTAGAGTGGACAGGTTGGTCTTCTTCCGGGGATGGGGGAAATACCACGACCTCACAGAAGTCCGGCGTGAAGTAGAAGTATTATATAATACTTCTACTACACGCCGGACTTCTATATACATATATTTCTGCTTAACGTCCGGGGTGTGAAGAAGTCAAAGCTCACTTTATTAAAAGGTTACAACGCATCTGCAAACGTACATGGGCAGCGGTTATCACCAACCATCAGCTGAACCGTCAAGCAGTTTACCATCGTCTCACTTTAAAAAAAAATTAGTTTGCTGTTAGCTCGAAATTCGGGCAAACTAAACTTCGTCATAAAACTTTGTTCTTTCATCGAAAGAGGTTGGAGAGCGGTATGGTATCATAAATTCACCAGAAACAATGTAATTGAAGCACGAAGACACAAAGATGCCGTCCGCTCAACTATCAATATCTACATAATCCCTGTACACGAGAGATGGAAAATTAACTAACTAGTCATGACGAAATTCAATACATGCATGATTCCGTCCAAAAAGCGGTTCGAATTTCGAGTTGGAATGCAATCGATAGTGGAAACAATAAGATCAAAATTGCGATTCAAATACGAGACAGACCTACGTCAAATCGATCACTTAAGAAAATAAAAAAAATATTAAATAATTTATCAAATTTAAATTATTGATAATTGATAATTGATAATTTTCATGAATTGATAATTTTCATACATCTTTTACTTAAATAATTTTAGTTAGCTAATTTTATTTTATATTGATTTTCTTTTTTAATTTACGTAAATGATCGTTCGGTCTGGGGCAGGGTCACGCAGCAGCATCTGCTGGTTCTTAAATATGCATGCTCATCTGGGGAAGGACCTCACAAAAGACCAACGTGAGGTAAACCTAATATAATTTTGAGTTTCATCTAGTTAGTGAGCTAACTGAGGCCTATTTGTTAGCAAAGTATCTGCATCCCAAGTGTTGTTGATATCCATGGACGGCGAACGGTAATCTTTTTATTTTTATTATGGGAAAAAGTGGCAAACGAGCAGGAGGCTCAACTGATGGTAAGTGATAACCACCGCCCATGGACATCTGCAACACCAGAGGGCTAACAAATGCCGGCCTTTTAGGAAAGAGTATTCTCTCTTCTTGAAGGTTCCCAGGTCGTAACGGTTCGGGAAGATCGCTGGCGGCAGCTGGTTACTATCAGGATAATCGCCTGTTTGCTTGCCAACTTTTCACATCCTTGGATCGGGTAGTGTCTCCTCTCCGCTTGCTAAGAGTCAGCCAATCCCTTTGAGTCAGCGGGTAGTTTGCGTTAGACTTTTCTGTTAAAGTTTCAAAATCGATATGCGTTTAAGCCACTGGGCGGAATAGACTACAAAAAATATGACACAGGTAATACAATATTTTTTAACGTAACCGGAAGTTTGTGTATTGTCTGTTGTACGGTAACGCTAAGAAAAGATTGTTGTTTGGCGCCTTTACGAGGCCGGTTGGATTTTATAAATTCTTAGACACTAATTAGAAGGCGAACATTAGTTCGCTTTTAAAATAAAATGGGTGATAAAGGTGACGGAGGTAAATTATTAATCTTTCCTAGATTGCATGTCGTTAATTTGCAATGATTTCTCTGACAGCTTCCCTTGTGTTTTTGGGTTATTATATCAAACAGCATCCTAGTTCATTTAAAATCTTTGTTCTTTTAGAAACATTCGACGATGCTGTAGAAGAAAGGGTGATAAATGAAGAATATAAAATTTGGAAGAAGAATACCCCATTTCTGTACGACCTGGTGATGACCCATGCCTTAGAATGGCCCTCACTTACTGCACAATGGCTCCCAGATGTTACCAGGCCTGAGGGCAAGGATTACTCTGTACACAGGTAAAACTTAATAGAGACACAATTAAGAGCGGTTAGACTTTCTTGGCATATTTCTCAAAGTAACCTATAGGAAATTTTATTCAATAAAAATCTTATTTATGCTCTTATTATTGATTACTGCTACATCTACTACTGTGATAAATGATGTATATTTCTTCGGGAAATAATAAGTTTTATGGGAATAAAAACATATTTTATAAGCATTATTATTATCATAGAATAGAATACATGATATTGATTGGAGCTTCAATACTCAGATCTGGTTTTAAGTATGTTGAGAAGGAGTCAAATTTGCTTTTTATTTATTGTCAACAAATCATTACTTTAAATATGGTGAGAAGGTATTGAAGCAATTAATTAGTTTTGCAAATACAAAAAACTTACTGAAGTTTTAATCATCAACATAAAAATAATTTTGGTAGCTTTTCCCATTAGCATTTTTTCGACCTTACAAAAATGATTATGTTAGCTAATAGATTTTGAGAAAAAAATGTTAAAAACTTATTTTCACTAATAAAATCCGCTGTTTTATTAATTTGAATTCAGAAATTGAGTACACAGTTTTGGCAACATGATAAATACAGGATAAACATAGGAAGCTGGCGATGTCATACTCATATAGATTTTAAAACAATCAATCAAATTTTTTTTTTAAATTTTTATGAGACAGCAGTCCCACTTGGCTAGGTTAGGTTAGAAGGTTGAGGCCTTTGTGGTTTTTTTTATAACCACCAAGAATGTCAGTGTAATAGTCCTTTTAGTATTTTTAAAAACTCTTTTTAATATGGTGGATAATGGAGGATTTCTTCAGTGAAAATAACATTTAAATTTTTTTTTTTCGAAATCTATAAGAGACTGGAGAATTCTGCTTGTTGATTATTTCATTAGTGATTTTTCTTTACAAAAAAAAAATGTTTTTAGGTCTAAAAACATCCAGCTCTAATGAAAAAAATTTACATATTTTTTAATAAATTCAACATTATATTGACAATGTAGAAAATTTAATATATAAACTAAGTAAATTAAAAGTGTAGTAATAATTCTATACTTTTAATTTACTTAGTTTTTTGAGAAGTCATTAGTACTGGTCCCAGTTCATATGAAGGTGGATAGGATGATGGATTCATATTCATGCCTTCTAATGTTAAAGTATAGAAAATAATTCCCAATTGTAAATAGATATGGCAAATATAAGTATATTGGTTCATAGTTTTTAATAGCATATATATAAAACTATTTATTTTATTTAGATAAATATAATTGTAAGTTGAAGCTAGTTAGATATAATTGTATAACTCCAGATTGTCTATTTCTTTTGACTTTCACACCTTTTTTTATTCTAATGTAATACTGAGTGACTGTGATTGTGAAACTTTATGTAAATTATAGATTCAATTTATTATTACCTAAACCCCTTTTGAGTAAAGAGATGAATATGCCCCTCTCTTTTTTTTTTTCAATTTAAGACTAGTGTATTCTACCTTCCTAGAATGCAATAAACAGTGCATGAGATAAAATTTCATATATATTATGTGTACTGTTTGTTGACAAATTTATTTATTTGAATTTTCAGATTGATTTTGGGCACTCACACTTCAGACGAGCAGAATCATTTGCTGATTGCTAGTGTTCAACTGCCCAATGAAGACGCTCAGTTTGATGCAAGCCATTATGATAATGATAAAGGTGGTAAGTGATATTATCGGAAAACTAGAACTCAAATAGGTGTAAGCTGCACAAAATAACTATAATTATATATAATAATTTAATATATTTTTCATGGATCATTTTGGACATTGTATAACTAAAGATTTCCAGAAAGTGATTAGCATTATTAGATTTCACATTAAGTACTATTTTCAATAAAATTCACTTTAAATACCAATATTTTTAACTGGAGTAACAGAACATAAATTGGAACAAGTATATAAAGTTCACTTTTTGATAAATCACACTTCATTTATTAACAAAAAATTAAATACCACCAGAATCACTGTTTTACTTAAAAATAAAGAACAACATTATATGACAATGTAGCCATAAGTAAAGCTACGAGTGGAAAACAAATATTGCATCATCATAAAATAATTGTCTGTGGAAGCATACAAGAATTAAAAAGAAAAGAAACAAGCGCTCAAGTGTCCTGTAATCATGGCTAATATTGAGTATAGAATGCCAGCGTCATTGTCTTTAAAATCAGCAGAACAGCATGCAATGCAATGTGGTAATACATCACCAAAATTGTTTTGTGATTGTTTTTCATTGATGTATATTTTTATATGTTTCAGAATTTGGTGGGTTTGGTTCAGTGTCTGGTAAAATAGATATAGAAATCAAGATTAACCATGAAGGAGAGGTGAATAGAGCACGCTATATGCCACAGAATCCTTGTGTGATTGCTACCAAAACCCCATCTTCTGATGTATTAGTGTTTGATTATACTAAGCATCCATCAAAACCAGAGCCTTCTGGGGAGTGTCATCCTGATCTTAGGTAATATTTATTGTCGAGTTTGTTATTGTATTATATTTATTATAAAATATACTGTCAAACCTGAGTAAAAAAGAAAACTTAAGTGACAATTACATAATTTCCTGGTCATTTTAGCCTCAAAAACCTCTATTTATGAGACACATAAGCCTCTTTAAGAACCACTTACTTAAGTATGTCTACTTATATTGTATTAACACATATTAGGCTCTTTTATTATTATTCAATGTGAATTGATATCAATAACAAAGAAAGATTTGGTCCTGTGTCTGGTCCCTTGAACTGTCACTTATCCAGGTTTGACTGTATCTGTATTTGACTATCAACTATAAATAATTGACTGAATTTAGTGTGAAAAATACTTATATAAATCATTATCTTAATAATTATTTATTTTATTATATTTAGATTACGTGGACACCAAAAAGAAGGTTATGGATTATCATGGAATCCTAATTTGAATGGATATCTACTCTCAGCCAGGTATGACTTACAATATTATTCAGGCATTATGTGTTATTGTTATGGTATGGTTGCGAAAAGTTACTATTTTGGTATTTTACAACAGATTTTTTTAGTTTTATAGTTTTGTACAGTCAATTCCTAAATATGGATATAATTTAACCCTTTTAATGTAATTTTTCCCAAAGTATTTAAGTAAACACAATATTGAAACTATAATAATAAAATTTTTGGGACATATTTTTACACAATATTATCTGTCCCCAAACTAAAACCCAACCAAAGCTTGTACTATGGGTAGGTAACTAGGTAACTGATAAACATACTTTTCTTTTGTAAATAAACACATATTATATAATATATTTACCTTATATAGTTAGCAAATAAATAAATATATAAACACCCAAACATTAGGAAAATACTATGTTCATCACACAATACAGCGTATCTTTACCATCGCAACAATAAATGAACACACATATAGAGGATAACTTTTTAAAATTGTATTTTTTCTTTCTTTAAACATCAATATTTACAGAGTTATTAAATTTTCCAAAACAAAGAATTTTAGAACACCCTTACGTATAAAACTGTAACGTAAAGTTCATTTGTAAAGGTCACAAAGCAGATGAATGGGTTGAATGAATTTAAAAGATACAAAACATACTGTTAGAAGGAGAGGCTTGTAATGCGACGCTGTGGCAACGAATGAAAAGGTCTCTGAATGTATGAATCAGTCAGTTGTAGTTGTATAGGATGTTACAAATTTTGTTTCGTTTTTACTTAGTTTGTTTGAATTCTTTTTTTAATTATGGATTTTATTTAACATTAACATTTTTTTATGATTATTGGCAAGTAGTGTTAGACGTGTGTCATTTATTGTCGCGATGGTGAGACACGCTGTATTTTTCCAGTAGTGTAGATCAAACCTACAACCTCTGTCACAAGAGACAGGGTCACTATCCACAACGCCAAAGGGGTTATATCTATTATATAAAGAGGAAAGATTTGATTGTTTGTATGTATCGAATAGGCTCTGAAACTACTTAACCGATTTGAAAAATTCTTTCACTGATAAGCTACATTATCCCTGCTTGACATAGGCTATATAATATTTTCAAAAAATTTGGGATCCATACTAAAACTCCAATAATGTTACTCAAGGTGTACAAAAATTACCTAAAATATTCTTTACATCGCGTGCGGTTCGAAAACTATTGATGATAGAATAAAGTAATGTACTACGACTTTGCAGACCACATCATTATTTACAAAAAGTGTCGCGACAGCATATGTCTAACTATTATAGCTATCTATATATACTGCGTCCGATGAAGCTTTAATAGTCTCGGGACTGAAAGCAAAAACATCAGTTAATACAAGAGACTATTATAGCTATGCCACAATAAGTGTTCTTTTATTTTAAAATTTTGATTGAAATGCCGCCGCTAAGGCTGTTTATTTGTATCTCGGTATTAATCCTTATAAAAATAAATTACTTCATATTTAAGACTGTTTCCATATCTTTATAAAACTTTTTGAATTATTAAATTCGGACATTCCGTTCCTTAGATATTGCAAGTTTAAAAATGTTAGTATATTGTAATTTACTAACCAAACAGCTCAGTGACTGACTTAGTTGTTCTTATAAGTTTTCAATCATATTTATACTGTCAACGACTAGAGTTCGTGATCGAGTTTTAGCTCACAGTTTCAGATCAGCTTTCATGCATTTTGCTCAACAGTCTTCCGTCCAAATCGTAGCCACGAATAAGATCTGCTCTAAGTTTTCTGTCAAAAATGGGTCGATGAACCAAATGGTATGTGCTGTGCTTCTGGAAAAGTTAGTCCCCCCAATATTGAGGAGCCGCCACCAACAATAAAAAACCTTTTTACAAATAATCATTCACCATCAAGACAATTTTAACCAACATCCGAAAGTACAATAGCCTCTTTCAAATGACTTTGTTTGACGCGAACTTTTAAAATAGAGGGACAAGTATACAAGTTATTATCATCCTCCTGCCCCTATGCCACCTAGGTGGGGTCGGCACAACATGAATCATGTTGTAAGTGGTTTTGCCTATATTTTTACAACCAGCCGCGTGCTTGACGTCAACTTTCCTTGGGAAACAAATACCCAGATCAAATTTTAACTGTGTAAATATCATGGTTCATGAGATACAGCCTGTTGACAAAGGGACAAACAGACAGCGGAGTCTTAGTAATAGGGCCCCCTTTATACTTTGGGTACGGCATCCTAAAAAGGCTCCAGAGATATAGTGTTGCACGGTAGTAACGGCCAACTTAAAAGGGTCTCTGAGTTACACCGATTGTATGATCCATAAAAATATCCCTTAAAAGTCGTAATAGGAGAAGACGGTTAATATTTGACTATTCCTCAAAAAGGTACTGTGCGTAACAAAACTATGACATGCATGCAATTGTATGTATTTAGGTTGATCGTTAAATCTTCCTGTTTTAAGCCATTGCATTATTACTGGGACTTATCAGGGTTCCGTACCCAACGGGTAAAACGGCACCCTATTACTAAGACTCCGATGTCCGTCTGTATGTCCGTATGTCTGTCCATATGTTACCAGGCTGTATCTCATGAATCGTGATAGTTAGACAGTTGAAATTTTCACAAATGATGAATTTCTGTTGCCGCTATAACAAAAAATACCAAAAAAACAAAAAAATATAAATAAGTGGGGCTCCCATAAAACAGACACGATTTTGGATAATGATGCCGTTTTTATAGATAATGTTGACAGTAGTAGTGTTTTTGACAATATGTAAGTGTAATACTTCTATATTGAATAAAGATAATAAAACATGATTTTTTTTAATGTGATAGAGTGGCAAACGAGCTGTCGGTTCACTTGATGTTAAGTAATAACCGCCGCCCATGGACATTTGTAACACCTGTAGGGTTTAGGGTTGCAAATGAGTTGCCATCTTTAAGACATTGGTTCCTCAAATATCGGTCAACAAACCAAAAATGGGATGATTTATGTCCGAAGCTCCCATAGACCAGACTTACTTGTCACTTTTACGTAACCCCGAATGTCCCGTAATTAAAGCGGAACCATTATCTGGTCAGCGGTCTTTCGATCTTCATGACGTAATTTCCCTTGAATTTCATTAAAAGATGAAGAAATTCATAAAATTATTCACCAAAGACGAAATATTCGGAATATTTTATGTGTATGATAATTTTTAGTTTTAAAAATTTTGTTAAATACCCGTGCGAAGCCGGAGCGGGCCGCTAGTATACTATAAATTGCAGGTTTCATTCAAAATCCCCTATTCCATAAATTGTTCATTGTTCCAGTGATGACCACACAATTTGCCTGTGGGACATAAACGCCACCCCAAAAGAAGGACGAGTGATTGAGGCCAAATCGGTGTTCACCGGGCACACGGCCGTAGTGGAAGATGTTGCCTGGCATTTACTACATGAGTCGCTCTTTGGCTCCGTCGCTGATGACCAAAAGCTCATGATCTGGGACACTAGGTTATTCAATTTACTTTTACTTTCCAATACTTCATGTCTAAAATTGTTATTAAAGTCACTGTTTTATTTAGGCCTTATAAGTACACAATACTAATTTTTATAAGTGGTGCGCCAAATGTAAAATGGAATATTCAGTTATTAGCTAGCGCAAAGCTTGTGTAATAAATCTATTTTTTAGGGGAAGGCTCTGATCATGAAAAAAGTATCAAACTAAACGAAATTTTAATTAGGTGAGACAAAATCTCTGCATTTACCACACAAAAAGAAAAATTCTAATCAAACCTGAAATTCTCCACAGTTTTAGGAATTCTCCATAAATATTTTATTTTATCTATGAAGAGGTTCTGTCAAATAAACAAAATGACACTTTCTTTAGTCTAGAAACAAACTAGGGTAAACTTATAAGTAATGATTTCTAAATTATTCAAATGTCTCACATTTTATAGCTTTGAACACATGCACACAAAGTATTTTAAATGTCAGGAACATGTAGCTCTCGACATTTTAAACTGAACACCATACGTAAAGAGTTAAAATCTGTAATATTAAATTGTTTGAATTTTGTACAACATATATTATTATATACATCATGGGTAATTTAAATGGGTAGTTTAAATATGAAAATTTAATCAATTATTTTTTTTTAAATAATTTTATTGAAATTCTGTTATTTTCAATAGATGTAACAATACATCAAAACCATCACATACAGTGGATGCTCATACAGCTGAAGTAAACTGCTTAAGCTTCAACCCTTACTCCGAGTTTATACTTGCTACTGGCAGTGCTGATAAAACGGTAAGGCACTTCACTTCAGTTTTGTTTAGATTAAAAGTTGGGAAAGTTAAAAATTATACAGTTTCACTTTTTTATACATTGTTTAGGTGGCTCTGTGGGATCTGCGCAATCTTAAACTGAAACTGCACTCGTTTGAATCACACAAGGATGAAATTTTCCAAGTACAATGGTCACCGCACAATGAGACAATACTTGCAAGCAGCGGTACTGACAGGCGGTATGCTTATTATTTGTTATATTTTGTGTTTTTTGTATTGTATTTTGTGGTTTTTTAATGTAAGAAGGCAAGTGAGCTGACGTTTCACCTGATAAGTAATAACCGTCGCCCATCTACAAATGTAGGGTTGCACTGCTGCCAACTTTTAATAAAATTTTCCTGTTAACTTACTAGACGACGTAGGTCTTCTATGAGGTTGCGATACTTCTCCGGTCGATCTTGCCCATTTGTGCTACTACAAAGACTGTGGCATGGCCCTACTACAGCTAGTATAGAAGTGGTTGGTGACCAACAACTACTAACCTAAAAGATCTACTGTAGTCCTCCCTTCGAAAAATTGTCTCTTACTGTAGGATAACATTATCCAGTGACATTTGATATACATAAATTTCATGTGGATAAACACAGATTCGAAATAATTGTCCGTGGGTCCACACAAAAAAATAGTTTCGAAACCAAACCCAAGACCTCCGGCGGCGTAGCCTTGGCAACTGCGCCACAGGGTCGTCTTTATGTAAGAAGTGTTCAAAACATTTCATTATTGTTAAAGTTTATTGTTAAAATATTTCTTTAGACTGCATGTATGGGACCTATCGAAGATTGGTGAAGAACAAACTGCTGAAGATGCTGAAGACGGTCCTCCTGAACTTCTGTTTATCCATGGAGGTCATACAGCTAAGATTTCCGACTTTTCATGGAACCCTAATGAACCTTGGGTCATATGCTCTGTTTCTGAAGATAATATAATGCAGGTATGACATTATTTTTTATTGTCATTTTTGTGAATTATTAATTAAAATGTTATAATAAATCAAACTGACATAATGTTTTGGAAGTTTTCTCTCGACCCTTCTCTGTTTATCTGCAAATGTTTGATAGCCTTATGTGATTTTTTTTTTTTAGAAAATATCACCACACTATCTTTTGTAAACTCGCTTTTTCCGGTCATAATGTAGCGACTTTCTTTTAATGATTTTATATTCTTTATGCGGACAGGTATGGCAGATGGCGGAGAACATTTACAACGATGAGGAGCCGGAGACGCCCGCATCAGAGTTAGAGTCAGGCGTAAATGTGAACCACGGCTAGCGAAATAGGCCGCGATATCCCTCCGCCCCCTCCTCAACACGCCTGACACACTCACACACTGCCACTCGGTGCTGCCATTTCAAAAAGTTTTATGTCATAAAGCCATGACAAGAAAAGAAGTTCCGGTCCGAGTTTGTTTAAAGAGACAATACACAATCTAAAGTGTATAATATAAGTTTTTAGGGTGTCGTAACAACTTTTTGAAATGTCAGTGACATTTGCAATAGGCTTTAAAAATTAACTTCAGAAGTTGAATAGAATCATCAAGATATATATTAATGGAGCCATTATACTAAAATTCTAATTGGAAGATCAATAGACAAATGAATAAGGGGAACAAGCTCCCGTGATAATTGGCAAAACCAGAAATATGTCCACATATTTAGCTTACCTTTAAAAAGGTGGGCCACAGGTTATCTAAGTTACTGGATGAAAGGCAAAAAATGTTACCTCCAAACAATGTATTGACACAAAGGATTTTCCCAATGTGGTTTTTATAACAGTCTTCTCATTCATTAAGACATAATAAGTAATTGCACTTTCACATTTTGTAAAATCGAATAAGTACGGTAAAACATTTCACGTGTTAATTTTTTTTATATAACTTATAACATAATTGTTTGAATTTAGGATTGTTTGTTAAGATATTTTAACGAAATCATATCTGTCATTCGTGATCGGGTTGTGTGTAAATTATAATGAGTTCTTTGTACATATTAATAATCCAAATAGCACCACTTTTTCACATAGTACTGCACAAATTGGATTTTTTTCATTTTTATGTAGTAAAGTAACAGCCTATACATGTCCCACTGCTGGGCAAAGGCCTCCTCTATACAGAGGGTATTTCATTAATATTGTAATTATTAACAAGTGGTCATTGTGTGAGTTTAAGAGAATCCATGATAGGAAAATGCATATTAGTTAAAAACCTTTTGTATAAAAGCCTAATTTAATCCATATGTACTACAGTTCTTTAAAATATTAAAAAAATAATTGTTAGCTGTTGCGGAAAAAAAAACTCAAATGTTTTTAGTGAGCATGGAAAGCCTACTGGTAGTGTTTTTACCTGCAAAGATCTCATTAACAAGATCGGTTAAAGTTTTTTCATAATCCCTATATATTGGTTTACATACAAAAGCTGTTCCATAATTTTAGCTATTAAGCATTGTTTCTATCGTAGGACAATTTCGAAATGGAGGGGCCAACCATAGTGGTTAACACGCACGGGAATCTCGAAGAGTACTCGTCTTCAAAATATGATACATTCGTTTTTATTTATATGTAGAATTGATTTGGTTATGTTTCAGTGTGCGTGCGAACCACTCTATTAAATACAGAGGCGAAAGAAGCCTCTATAAAAACTCACTTCCCTTCGCGGACCGTTGGGCGAAACGATTCCATTTTAATTTATTTCTTATGTGTACGTCACAAGGCATAGTTTCCGTTGGTGGTGCGTCGGTGACGCGACTAAACGCCGATCATTAATTAATTTTTACGCAGTAATGAAACGTATTTTTAAGCTCCGCTAAATATAATTAAAGATTTATTGTAATAAGTCTCTTTTATTTGTGTACAAAATTTCCGTTAACCATAATAATTATTCATCTGTTTCATGTACTTAATTGATCTCCTTATGGTAGTTTGATAATACTATATCATTCTTTGTGATTGTGGGATTATATATCTTGAAGTAGCTTGAAAGCTACTTCAAGATATATAATTATGGTAAACTTGCGACCACAGTTCCACAGTAATCTAATTTTGATTTTAAATTCCCGACTTCGAACCCTTTAAAGCATTGATTACTTGTAAGTCTAGCCCGTGTCATTTAACCATGTAGGGATTGAAAATCGACTTTCGAGCGTTGTGTGGAACAACAACATGATTATGTTATGTGTAGTTCTTTGGTATACAGAAAAAGAAAATTGGCTGCGGATTAAACCGTATGTTATTTTCTAAAGATATAAAACCATGGGCAAAGGCATTATAAATTCATTGAAATTAAAGATGTTTTTTCCTTTTTACGTTACGTTTGTTTAAGTACGTGCTTGTTTACGTTATTGTTGTAAGTACGTGCTGTTGTTTCTAAAAATCGCCCTTCATTACACAGCCCACGTCATTGGGATGGGTCAACCCTCGATGTGTATGTAAGTACCTACCACACCTGTTTGTCGCCTTTTAATGGGATTGCTAGTCGCCGCGGGGACAAAACGAGTGCCCCTTATCAGCGCGGCACGAAATTTAGTACGATTCTGTCATTCGCACAGCTATCATGTCTGTTATTAAATTCGCGCTGAGTTTGATAATAATTTCGTTGGCGTTTGCTAAGAGGTCTGGTGGATATAGTAAAGGCCATAGTCATTATCCCCCATCAACCGGCTATTCTGGAAGCGGATCTGGAGGTGTGCACAGCTATCCGTATTCTACAGGCTTGTCCGGCAATTCGTATACACAACGTAGGCCCACCTCGACTTACCAAAATCAAGGGCATTCGACAACCTACACGCATAGATCTGAAGTACATCATCATTATCACTACAGCCCGCCGCAGCATGTTAGCTACGGTTCGGTAAATTACCCGGTCTATCACGCTACTCCACCTGTATATATTTACGAGTACAGGAATTCGGGGAGTAGATTTGATAACCTGCTCACTGGTTTGGCGTTATACAATTTAGGCAGAATGTCGGCGAGCCACAGTAATTACGATCACCAAAGAGAGTATAGAAGTAATCCTGGAGAGATATGCAAATTGGGCATAAGTAAAAGTAACGGTGAATACGAAGAAACTAGAATCGATTGCAAATTAATGTCAAGTTACATTTGGGAGGCTGAAGGGAATCGAAACATTGGATCTAAAACTAATACCAATGTGATTAAAACAGTAAATATCACACAAACTGTGACCAACGGAACAAATTCAAGCAGTATCACTTCGCAAACTGTTACGGTGCAAAACACGAACGTCGCTGATGCATTACAAGTTAAGGGACCTTCACTAACAGTTACCCCAGGGATGAACTGTTTCATGATTCGAATATCAAGGGATTCGTCTATTCTAAAAAAGAACGTGGAATGTGGCTTATTGCAGGCGTATGCAGTCAACTCTTTGCGTTATAATGGGTGTGGTCGGAATTTTCCAAAGATTGTAATTTCTGTGTTTGTTTTAATAATACACATTTTTATTAACACATAAATAAAAAATAAATATTGCTTTTTACGTTTTTATTATTGTGTTTATTATATTTATGTGGATAATTGACGTGGAAAAAAAATTAAACATTTATCATGTCTGAGAACAGTTTGGGTAATTTTTGCCAACACTCATAGTATTTGGCGTCCAATTTCTGGCACGTCTTTATGCCCCATTTTGTAATGGCCATGCTCAATGATGACTCGAACATGAAAGCCTGTAAATATAAATATTTTTTCTTTTCTAGTATATATTAAAATACTTAAACCTGAAAAATAGTTGTAATTCTATTCAATGCTGCAAAAAAAAAACGATTACAACAATGAATTCCAAATGGGTTTTAAAAGATGGGTACAAGCTGCAATTGTTACATATCTTACTTGTAAGACATATATTTATTGTGAAAACTTTAGAAGATTGTTGTTTTACTATATTTTTAGTAGCTCTAGGCTTTAATTAACCAAAGTATAAGATTATCTTTAATTTATTAGGATACTTGCAAATGAGCACATTTCTCTTGAAGTGATAAGTTATTAGTTATTGTTGGTCAGTTTCCACCCTTAAAGGCATCGAGAACCATACCAGAAGAAACGAAAAATTATAAACTAAATAGTGTTGGTTTCCTTGGATGCTTTCTTTTACCAATAGTATCAGATAAAAACGAAATATACAAACCTGAGTGCCGACAGCGATCTTTTGAGGCAACAACGAAGCGTTGGAGGCTGACATGAAGCATTTCTCGTCGGGCCCGTGCGGTGTCATGATGGAGTGTAAAGAGGCCCCGCCAGCGAGGAATCCACCCTCCTTAGCCTCGTAGGAACCGAAGATCAGTCCCATGAACTCACTCATGCAGTTGCCTTGAAATAATTAGTTGCTATAATATCAAGTATTCCGCCGTCTATTATGTACTATAGATAGACACGTACTTTTTTCTTCATATCTGAAAATCATCTGGCCATCTAGTGGCAAACGCATTATATTTGAAAGAGATTTAAATATTTACAATGTTATATACTTAGGTAACTACGTGGTTTTATTTTTATTTTTTGTAATATGGTAAACCAGTACCTAAGTTTATGTAAATGTTGGTAAGACTTTATTGTTATTTTTTAATATAAATGTATACTACATAAAGGTAAACCTTGCGCTATTGCTGAAAATCGCATTAAAATCAAAAGTCGGGAGCGACTTTGCCTTATACTATGTAATAAAGATAATGCATACATGAGGCATGAGCATTTGCACTGCTCTACTACCACCTCGATCTCGTGGGATCTGGCTATCCCACGAGTTCTGTGTTCGATGAAGCTTTAAAACTCTAAGGAATGAAAACAAAAACATCAGTTAAAGTTTTCCGTTACAAAAGCTATGTGCACGGCTTATTTCTCACTCATACGCATTAAACTCACACATTACTTTTTACTTTCGATTAGTCTTTTGAGTTACTCAAAAATTACTTACGATGATAATAAGGTGGTCTAAATGTGTTCTCTTGTACTGACCACCGTGGCGGGAAAATAACAAAGTCTGCAATTGCAACACCGGGTTTCGTGGACGGACACGTGAGTACCGTAAATATAGACGGATCCTGGTAAAGTAAACGATCATTCACGAAAATGGTTTTCAATTTGAAGAGTTTTATGAACATGAGATTTTCTAGTACCTACACATTAAAAGTCAGTCAGTGTCAAATATAACTAAGAAAACATAATGGGCGTTGAAATACTTACGCAATGGTCGAATGAAACAGAGTTGATCACCATGAATTTGCTTAAATCATATTTATAGGGCACATAGTTCCCATGCCAGGCCACTACATCGAAAGGTGAGTGATTTTGTTCAGCTTCGAACAAAACGCCCTGGTATTTGCTTATTATTTTGAATCCTAGAACAGAATGTCGAAACCAGTGCTTAAAAAGTAGAGACACCAATAAATTGTAAGCATATCAAGTGCTTAAAAATTAATTAAAGTAGCACTGATTATTTTACTTCTTCTTCTTTAATAGGAAAACAATTCTAGCACTGTATAACTAAACAACTACAGTGGAATGGTTTCTCTTATTTACGCGAATATACATAGATATATAAGAGTGGTTCTAACCCTATTAATTTGTGGGGCGTCCACGTTTCGAATATTTTGTAGTATGCATGCATGCTTATAAAAGGTTGGCAACGCTGTTGCAATACTCTGATAGTAGTTGATGTCAATGAGCAGCGAGAACTTACCATCTTACATCAGGTAAACTACTTGCTAATTTGCCAGCCGTTTTAAATAATAAGAAAAGCATCTGTCCTTATACATCTATAATATATTAGCTTTAGTATCTACCTATTAAATGTATATAACAATAGCGCCTATAGAGAGGTATGTAAAAGAGCCTTCCGATTTTCTGCGATCTTTATAATCTCTTGCTCCGTTTCCATATTTGTCTCTTCCTATCAACAATCCCTACAACAGTCGATACATAAATTGCTTATCGCTTTGGCGCCAAAATGTTCTGCCAACGGAGTTCTTGTGATTCACATTTATACTTTATATGTATTTACTCACCAGGTATCTCCTCGTCATGGTAACAGGCGACTGGTGTGAGAAAGTCGCGCGGGTTGGCCAAACCATTCGCCCCTATCGGTCCCAAATCGGGCAGCTTGAAGTGACCGTCGAACACCTCCAGTATGTAACCGCTAAAAGCAACGCGATTGCAATCTTATTAAACTATTCTATTATGAAAGTTGTTGGTTGATAATGAAGATTAAATGATATTAAGGAAGGATAGAGGCTACGGACTTCTCTAAAAAGTTGCGGATTCGTTACCAACCTTTAATAAATTGAACCCTGCGTGAGCTCAAAACTTAAACTTAAAATGTGAACTTTTGCAGACATAGGAACAAAAACTTTCATTTATCTACAAAATTCAAATTTTAAATTTCTTTCCATCATTTATGAAATATTTTGGTTTATCTGAAGTTTATTCTTGTAGCAACGGTTTATAACTTATATTAATGCAACGGTTTATTTAAATAAATATGCCTTTACTAGCATATTAACTTTAAAAAGCTAGCGTAAGTTATTGCCCATGGATATAGCAACCGATGGTTTATTTGATTACCCCATTCGATAAAAAAATAGTTAGTCCACTATTGCTCTATAAGCCGTAGAGCAATAGTGGACAAACTATTTTCTCTCCTGTCACGCCATGTTAATTCCCTGTTCCAGCTGGACTCCTATGAAATGGACTTTGTGGCAAAAGTTATTTTCTAGAAATCGAATTGAGAATTTATTCCAAACTGGGTTTGCGTCATTACTTAAGATGCAAATTGCCTTTCAATTAAATATGAAGGTATATTTAGTATTTATTTAATAATATCAGATTTTATGATAAGTTTTATTTATGTGTTCAGTCAATTCATCGTTAATTTATTATTACCTTCCTTTCTATGAAAATTCGTAGAGATGATACTGTTTGACGATTGTCACCATACATGTAGGAGCACTTACCGAGTAGGTCCATTTACCGCAACGGAAAATCTCATTCCTAGCTGGATTACAGCTATCTCGTTGGGAGCTACTTCCATTATTCCGAATTCGGTGGTGATCTTCAACGCTCCCTGTTGTGGCACTGTAACATATACAGGTCGTACCGAACAATTTGTTACACAAGTACTTCAAAATAAAGTTCAAGTCAAAAGAAATATGTGAAAGGATATGTACTGTCCTAAAAACTATTCTTTTGATAATGTTCACTACTCTGTTTCTATGATGTAACATAACTATCGATCGACCATCGATTATCGATTGGACATTCGCGTTAGATTAACCACTAAAGTGGCCACGATTCTGAGGTATGCATTGCTTCATCGGTCAAAGATGTGATGTTTTGCGGAGTATAATAAAATAGATTTTACGTTTATTAAGTTTATTTAAAAAATCAAATAACCATAGTTATGTAGCACCGTTGTAATACAACATTTGCAAACGCAAACTTTTATAATCGATGCGCGCTCAATCCTCACCTATCAGCAGGTCTCCATCGCTGCTGTAAAATGCGCTCCTTTCCATGGACGTATTGCAAAGGTATACATGAATGGCGATGCCATGGCGGGCTCGGGTGTCGCCAGCGCCGCACACCGTATGGAGACCAGCCACGAAGTCTACCTTCTCTTCTGCCGGCGGCATGTCGAAAGGCAGCCAACGGGACTGTTAACAAATTACCAACACATCCTACTAATATTATAAATGTGAATGTAGGTTTGTTTGTTAGGCTTTCACGCCAAAACTACTCAACCGATTATCATGAAACTTTGTACACATATTCTTGGAGGTATTAATATATTACACAGGATTCTTTTTATTAAAAAAAAAAGATATTTATAACAGCCTTAAAAAGGCTTCAACGCGAGTGATGCCACGCGTGAATCTACATAAAACGAAGCTTTTCCGGAGCACGAAGGGAGAAATGGTCAGGCGCTTTCTAATTAATTCTCTAGTACTTACAGCTTGCAAGCAATATTATTTGTAAAATTTTAATTTTGTTATTGCTTGCATGGCAATAACCAAAATATTATTATGAAATATGCATGTTCAAACAATAATAAAACTACTTATATAAGTGAAATCTTCCGCGTGATGGCCGCATACATTTTGCCTTAGTTAGCTTTGTCGAGAGGTTTTTCATAAGTCTATTAGAAGTCGTCTTGAAGCAGACATGAATTGATGGTTGACATCGGGGAGATATGGGAGAATCTTACAGTCGTATTTATTTATGTTTATTGTTGCTTTATAGACTGGGCTTAATAGCGACTATATTTTTGATAATTTATTTAATTTATAATGTGAGCTTGAGAAACATGGGTTTCTCGTTACCTGATTCGGGTCGGGCTCCTCGTCGTCCCACTTATGTGTCAAGTATTTGGCGAGTTCAACCCTTTTGAATGGTCGATGGACGACTGATGGACGAATTCTGTAATGTAGGAATGTAAAATAAACTATCCACAAATCATATACCATTTTCTGAATAGCAATAAAAGCTGTATGATATTCGGTTTTGCTTGAAGTATCGATATTTAAGGGACTTACTTATAATTATAAATTAAAAAAATTTGTCCTTTAGTTTACGCTATTCGGTATAATGCTATTCTGAATACTTTAAACTAAATTAAAAATTACATTAAACACAATTGTCTATAATACTAATAATATGTGTATGACTATATTATAAAAAACATAATTATGTATATGATTAAAATGATTAATAACTTAGTAACCAAATAATAAGAGATATAGAATATAATTGTAGTACAATAGAATTATTTCTTTAAATGCTAAAAAACAATTTAGAAAAGTCGTTAAGATTTTCGTCGGTATGGCAATCAGCCTTTTAGCTTAGTGGCTAAAGCGTCAGGACGCGAATCCCGACGTGGGTTCGATTCCCACAGCGGCGATTAACTTTACTGTTTTAGGACCATGCAACAGTGTTCACTGTTGCACGAATGGGCAGGTCCTTCCGGGTAAGTACCACGACCTCACAGAAGACCGGCGTAAAGTAGAAGTGTTACACTTCTGCGTTCCGTCTGGTGAGTGAGGTAGCCGGGGCCTACTTTATTTATAGGTGGCAACGCATTTGTAACCCTACGGGTGTTGCAAATGTGGTTATCACTTAACATCAGGTGAACCGCCAGCTTGTTCGACACTTTCTCACATAAAAAAAAAACTTTTTGTATTTTTTTCTACAAATTTTAAAATAATCAATATTCAAATAAGAAGTAATGGAAGTACATATAATACCTACCTGTACAACCACGATCGTTTGTTGTCAGCTCTTGGGGCAGTGAAAGCGGACCCCGAAAGCTGTTCAGCATAGAGGCCATAGGGGCACTTTTGTGGAGAGTTCTGACCAACCGGCAACGCACCCGGACGCCGTGGATCCTCCGAACTGAACTCCGAACCGAACCCAGAGAGGTACTGAGCGTTGCACGTGATTATATAAAACCATCAAAATGCTTAAGGAATTTTATATACGTCCGCTAAGTATTGCCTCTGTATACCTTTATTCTTATCTTTATAAGTTTATTGCTTTGTTATGTTGTTATTGCCAGTAAAATTGTTACACTTTAAACTGTATCTAAGAAATAAGAAGAGGCAACGATTTTCGAAACATGTGAAGTGGTCAGTTTAAAATTGGAAATCTCTACTTTTTCACGAACATTTGCATAATTTTAACATCAAATTAAGCAATATTTTTCATTATAAACATTTTGCTACAACTTTCTCATATTTAGATATTCATATTCTATCATTATAGTTCTAAAAGCTTATATAAAATTTTCTTAAGCTGCGTCTATATTATAGGGAATATCATATTACAGCAATAAATATTTTCAGACACATTTTTACACTATGTTCTCTTGTCCCAAACTAAGGAAAGCTTGTGTTATGGGTACTAGAAAACTTATAAACATACTTTTCTTTTATAAATAAATACATATTTTACATATATAAACACCTAGACCCTGGAAAAACACTATATTCATCACACAATGTTTTTCCAGTAGTGGGGATCGAAACCGCACCCTCTGGCGTAAGAGGCACTTTCACTAGTCCTCACGCCTATCGGGTCGTATAGTATATTCATTTAAAATTATTTTAATAAAAGAGTACGAAACTTTAAAGCGAACTCGTAGGTAAAACTTAAATTCCGTATAATATTATAGAAAAGATACAAATATTTACTTGATAAACATAACGACAAGTATAAGATTATGCATGTTTCATTGTAGGTCTTAATATTGTGCAAATATCAGACAACGTTTGAAATTAATTATTTTTATATATAATTACTTCTTCGTATTCGGAAGAATTAAAACAAATGCATCTACTTACTTTCAACTCCGTCATCCTGCGTAGCGTTTTTATTACAGAGCTAAAGAGACTTTTCTCAGTAAAGAGATGAGGGAGACTGGCGCGTATGGCAGGTATGCAAATTTGTCCGGTTTGTTTATATTCTCGATAAACCTCGAGCTACACTTACGATAATATACAATATGGTGATGTTTTTTATGAATTGATAATTAATTAAAGGTACGACCGACATCAAAAGTACTGTTGTGCGATTATGGTACAATCGATATTTTTTGATTGTAATGTTAATAAATAACTTAGCAGTTGCGAAGATATTGGCTTCGCCGCCGGGTTCGTGGGTTCGATTCCCACACGAGACCACTATTTGTGTGACCCTCAGATATTGTTTAGTATCTGGGTTGTCCACGTGAAATATATGTATCTATGTTAAACGTCCTTACAACATAGAATAGTATTGTCCTACAGTAAGGGGGCAATGTTTTCGAAAGAAGACTAAAATAGATATTTCTAGATCGCAGTGGTCATTGGAACTTACTACCCAAAGCCTTCCACGCAAAAAATATTCCCTATGCGAGGGAACTTCTCCGCTTGCGTTCACAGAACCAACCTCTGCGTTCGTTTGCTAGACTTCCTATAGGACATTCGGTTTTCCAATTCCAATTTTAGTTTTATGACTCCATCGATATATAACTTGATGAATTCGGTTTTGATTTCGGCGGAAACTGAGATTGAAGCCGAAAATCGGTTTAGCCGTAAAAACTACTTTTGATTGGACCGCGCACTCCATACATGCGAAAAAGCTTTGCATGCCCTGTCGCCCCATACAAACACGCCCCATACAAACTGAAACTCACTCATAGGGATTAGGAGTATCAGAAAAGAAACGTTAAAAAGGTGCCAACTCAGGCCCGCTGAATTTTTGGATGTGTAAGGAGAAAATTGTTATACGCACTAACTCTGAAAAATCTAATTTCTGGCGTTGCATGCTCATACCGAGGAATGGTAGGCGTTACATATAAAAGTAGATACTATAAGACTACATATATGGGATAAAATAAAATGACAATTAATGGTAATTTATTAGTTAGGAAATAAACGCTTTCATTACGATAAATATAGCGTAGAGCGTCAACAAGATATACATATTTCAATAACATTTGTATTGGGTATTTTTTATATTAGCTGCCAAAACTACAGTTGGTCCTAATATATAAAATCGAAAGATTCAAAAAAAAATATTACTAATATTGGAAATTATTGTAGAATCAAATTGGTGTTAAACGTAAAGCCGTGTTTACCCAACATTTCAAAGCCAAGAAGGAACTGGTTGTAGCAATTCTTGACTGCGTAAATGTCGAGTATGGTAAACAAACTGGTTATAGATCAATAATAAAGCCGTCGAACGCATATTTTGATATTTTCTTCAATCATTATATTTATCTAGAACATATAAAAACACGTGAACCCAATGTGTAAAATTTTGTTGGTATGTTCACTAAGTATAATATATTTTTGTAATGTATTGTGCTTTCGGTCTGTAGATTATTAAAGCTTCGTCTCTTGGGATGGCCAGATCCCGCAGCTTGATACGGCTCTCCTCTTTGGAAGAGCCTCGCATGTGCTCATGACTGCGTGTTAGCTAGTGGGAGATAGTTTCACCTACGGGTCATCGAGCTTCAGACGTGACTCCGTAGTTATATTAGCGGCTGTAGATTGTATTAATCGGTGGATGGAGGTGGTTCAAAGCGCTGGAACGCGGGTATACTTACGCGTTGTGTTGATTTCGCTATTCCCTTAGACGATGAGAAACTAATTGGTTTAAATGACATTTTTTTTATTAACCCTGTTCCCTTCGCTTAGGATGAAATTTTAAATTTATAGAAAAATGGATGAAATCTTTCTCGCCGCTGCGAGGAATTTCATCTTAAATGCAGAGGACCGCACTATAAAAATTAATATCGTTTAAATTTTATTAGCAAAGGTGTTATTCATTTTCAGTTAATTCAGTTAGTTCATTTTAATTAGTTTCGAAGAGTTTTATTGTTATACTAATTACGTCTAAACATCCATCCAACCATTTAAAAAATAAAACAAAAGCTTTTGTGAAGTTCATATATTTGATTATTGAAACGTTCCTGCATACAGTTCTCTGTAATATCGACAGGAGTAACATCTACATGGAATATACAATGCGGCATGTTCGGAATATACAAAACTGCATGGAAAATGTAACACGCCTATCAGTTCCGGGCTAAATCGCGTTAATGCAAATTGATGAGTGCCTTGAAGTTGGCGCAGTTGCTTTATTACGCTCACGAATAGACGTTAGGCATCCATAGATAACAGAGGAAACTTCGGATCCACGCCAACTTCAAGGCAGACAAAGACTTGCGCGATTTGCGCCAACGTGCACATTCCACAAGATTTGAATCAGCAAAGAAATATCATATATAAATATATAGATACGTCACTTTGTTCAAATTACAATTACATTAAAGAGTTGCTCCTACGATAAACTGTACGTTATAAACATTTATTATTGTTCTTAATAATACTTCACATCACTACAAAAACCGAAAGCTACACTAACTAGTATTTATTTGGGGTAGGGATTACAATTGTGATTATGATACAATATAGGCAAGAAACATATAAACCTAACCTTTGGATAATTTGTAATTAATTTCTTCTTTCGATTACTCTTTTATTTTTCATTAATTTTCGTGATATAGTATATGTTCTAACATGAGATATATGATTATATAGCATATATGATTATACATTAAACAGATTTATGTGTCTACGGTTGTTATACAGTTTTTAGTTCACCGTTTTATATGGAAATCTAGTTTAACTATCTCCGTTTTGAGAACAATAGAACGCACGTAAACAATAAAAGCGACCAAACAACGATGAGATACACTTAAACAATAACTTACAAATCGACACTAATCACAGGCGCCTAAACAAAGTACCAAAGCACTTATACATAATAAACACTTAAAATTAAAATCTTTATAATACTCTCAATGATTACATACATATTAAAGAACACAGTTTTTTGTAATAAAATTTTTGGTTACATTACATAATAACGCTCAATTAAGAATAAATTAAAATAAATAAATAATCACTGAGATAATAATTTCGTCGAGTACAAATAAAATACTCAATCTAAATCGTGAAGAAGTACCTCAGAAGTAAATTGCGGAAACAACATTAGACGGAATAAAAAAATTATGCAAATCCGAATACCTAATTGTATTTTTATCAGCAACGTTACCAAGTAATATTATCCTGAAAAATGACATTACTTAAGTACATTTTTACAACCATTGAAACAGGAGTATATAGAAAAGCGTCAAAAAAATTAAAAGTGCACGGATATCCAATTAAAAAAATTATGCAGAGTTGTTGATATAATATTGGACAAATATCTCCCCATCGAAGACAGCTCGGCCGAGTTGAGCTCATTGCCGAATCAAGAAGAAACCTGAGGCACACCCGATTTCCTATGACCTATCCTATACGTACATTAATATCACATGGCTTGCATTAGCCCATTGAAACACACACAATGACAATATAATGGTTATTAATCAATTTAATATCACACGAACAAAGCGCAAACACAACCATCCGAAACAATTGTTCTAACGGTAATATTATGCAAATATCAACAGCTTCGATTTGTATGAAGACTGAATGCTTTCAATTACAAAACAAGTTAAGTCGCTTTTATATGATAATCATACTCCAACTTCGTTAATTTGAATAAATAATAAATTGTAATAAATAAATATACTATTAAAAAAAAGTATGTGGTGCTTGTACAATATAATAACATTATGCAAAAACAGTTTTAAATTAGATCCAACTTACTGTAAATTTCGTGAAGATACAAATACAAAACGCAATTTTTGAAAAAAACGAAAAAACCATTTTGGAGATTCGAAAGCATTCAGGCTTACTTCCAAAAAATACATTGATTTATCAAGATACGAATAACGACTCAAATATATAGAATATTGCAACTAATAACCGACCTATCCATAAGAAATACCTCGAAAAGACAGTAAGTCAGCGAATTTAAAAAAATCGACGAAACCATTATGGTTAGCTTTAAAAAGCTAAAGCTACAAAAGGATCGCGATACACAAAATTTAATCGACTAAACCTAGATGCCGAACCAAACCAAGCCAAGCCAGCCACTAATCACTCAAGCAGTCTTATCGCGTTAAAACTCTCGAGTGAGCTTGCAGTGTTCTTATTGTCCCAATACCAACCTCAAATGCCATTCGAGAAACGAAAACTCACCTTTCCCAGCCCGTGGAACCAAAAAACACATTCCATTGCCAGATAAAAAAATTATAATTGTGATGAAAATTGTAAGAAATATACATTCATATACCAAGTATTTATAACTATAAAGAATTATTTGTAAACAACCACACGGTTAATTATTGAATAGTAGCAGTCTACACGTTGCCGAGATCAAATATTTAAGCAAGTAATGACGTCACGCCCCTTTTCCGTACACATCGAAACGAATGAAAAATATATTAAACAATTTCAAATTCCACCACGTAATCCCAATATTGGATTATGGGTCTGTAAATGGAAGGGAGTGCTATGTATTCACTCAAACAATTTTGTAGGTATATCGTTTCGGTTTGTTGAAAATTTACTACAAATATTTTCTCATTCGGTACCGACTTCAATTCATTCATTCAATTGCATGTAAAATAGCAACTATGTTAATGTGCAACTTTTCTGCACAGTCATTGTAATCACCGCGTAAACATACTTTACGTGAAAAACAAATATTTGCGTAGATATAAATATTACAGATATGCAAATCACAAAATATTACTCTAAAACAAGTGAATATATGTATTGCGAATATTATAGACTTCATAGTAATACCAGAATTCATTTTATATGTGAAATATTATGGACATGCCATTATACATAAATATTGAATATTACATCATTATGGGATATTGTGACCTTAAATTCTATGAAATTACTTCAACTGCCTATCTACTCCACAGTCAGACAATAAATCGCTGCCGTGAATTATTAGTCTACATTTTTTTTTATTATTAATTCTTATTATTTGTATTTAATAAGCAGACGATAGACCGTAATCGCACTTTTTTTTTAATATATTAACAAATTAATCTGTTTCAAAAATTACAAGTTTAAAAAAAATCGTTTCGAAATCGTTTCGTAAATATACTGTTGACCAAAATGTTCTTCACTTTTCTATTAGATTAGGCCCTTTAATGCATTGCTAACATTATTACAAATGTTTTAAATCTGCGCGACTTCTTTCTATCGATCTATAAAACAAAATTAAACTAAATTGTGCTCTTCGCTTTGCCTCTGTTTAACAGAGGGTAAACATTTATCATACATGTGACAAATTATGCGAATATAATGAGTATTGGTTAAATTTGTTAAAAAGCGACAAACACTGTCTGTCGACTTGGACGCGCCGTCATTGTGTATAGTCGGATACAATAAACATGGAATTATTCGAAGCTTTTAAATAATCATAAAATGTTTACTGAATACTTGAGATTTAGAGAGCTAATTGCACGCGACTGTACACTGAAACTTAGATGTCGTAGACGTGATGATACAGTTTTTAATCAACTGTACTCCTTGGACGACTTTAATAGCGCCATTTCGGAGAGAGACGTTTTTCTAGCAATAGTAAACTATATAAAAATCTTCTACCCCAACTATATAATAGTTGTGATAATAAACATTGTCATTATAAACTTCAACATAAAATATAGACATCATGTTGAGTTTAAATGCCAGGGGATAAGAAATATGAAAGTAAATTTGACCCGCATGTGGGATTTCTACAATAGAGAAAATCGATTTGCAGCAGTTTGAATCAGATTGAAGACAGATATATTTATTAAGATAATATTTCTATTACTATACAAAACCTCTCGGTGCGAAAAGACGGTGTAAGTCAAAACTTATATCAATATTACATAAAACAAACTTTCAATAATACATATGTTTCAAAAGTTTGATTGATCATTTTTTCATTCGTATTGGCATTACAAACATACACTAGAAACATCCTTGAAATTGGAAAGTTTAATTATTTGCCAAGCGACAGGCATTGGTTGCCTTAAAAATTATGTTCAATAAATTTCATATTATTTTATTATTTAGTTATATTTATAATTTTCCATTAAAATCATTAAGTTTGCTGTTAGTTATCGCTTGGCAAATGTTTAATATTTATAACATTACAGAGAATCAGAGTAGGTTTTGTTTTACTGTTGCGCTGGAAGCATGTGGGACCAGGCGGCTTCATACTTGGCGTGGGCGATGCTACATGCCGATTTGGACGCGTCCACCACACTCAATGGGAATGGTTCGCTCTAAATAAAAAGTAAACAACATATAGTCAAGAGTACGTTGTTTTTTGATATTTAACTTAGTTATCTTAAACAAAAGCATTGATGGCCTTAATGAAATACAACAGATGTATTAATAGATTATAAAGGATTGGACACAGTTGGAATTCATTTCTTTTATTAAATATATAATGTTTAACAAGAGAAATGTTATGTATTAGCTTATTTCATAGTTATCAGAATGCAGTACAGCATATTTCAACTATAAAAAAGTATACTTTAACATATTATATATAATATGTTCTGTCATTCAGTTATTTAACTATTCAAATATATCTATTTCGGGTCGCAAAAATAATTGTCCCTTGTGGGAATCGAACCCAAGACCCTTGACGCCGAAGCCAATAACTTGATAACTGCCCCATGGTGTCATCAAATCTGTAGATCGAATATTAAAACGGGCCGTAAGTAGACTTTAGCTTAACTAACCGTGAGGGCACCATAAGCATACTCCAGTGCGGCTATGAACCGCTCCAGCTCAGCGCCGCTGGCCATCACCAGTGCAAGGCCGGCGCCCCTCTCCCTCGCTTCGCATACACTCCATTCCTGGAAATCCATCACAGACAAGGAAAGTTTAGTTTTTTTTATATTAAATAGGCCGGTAGTCAATGTATTTTGTACAATGATTGTCACCTACATCCTGAAGTTTTTTCTCAAATGTACAAAACATGGTGTGAATTTCAAATTTATCTAAGTCACATAAACTGATAAAGCTTCCAAACACTTGGTAATATATCCCATATTGGGGTTGGTGGTTGTGATTTACATGACAATTTTTTCAAATCTTGTAGTTTATCCATATTAAATTAGTCTGTGTGAAACATTCTAACAGGACAGGATAATTTTATCTCAGATACGGTGCTTATTATGACAGAATAAAAAAGTTTTAAAATATTACCAAACAGCACCAGTTTTCGTCAGTGTCAGGTATCTTGAAGGCCGTGAGATTCTTAATGGAACCGCAGGCTAATATCTCAATGTCAGTTCTCATTTCTTCAATGTACTCTGCATTCAAAGAATAAAGTTCAATTAAAGTAAACAAACTATAATAACCTAATATCACATTACTGTAACTTTTCCTAAGAAATTGATACAAGATAACTACAACTCAACTAAATGTGAGGCTTATTGAAAACAACACATTTATCTGTGTTTATATAAACTTTTAAGAGCCGTGATAGCTCAGTGTCCGGGCGCTCGCCTTTAATTCAAAATACTCGAGCAACCTGAGTTCGATCCCCGGTGCCGGCACCAATGAAGTTTTTAACTTTAAGTGCTGTCTTATCACGTGCTCCGCGGTGAAGGAAAACATCGTGAGGAAACCTGCATATTTTCGAAATAATAACAAAAAAAAAATTATTTCGAAGATATATGAAGTCCGCCAATCCGCAGTGGGGCCGCGTGGTGGACTATGCCCTGATACCCTCTGTACAGAGGAGGCCTTTGCCCAGCAGTGGGAAATGTATAGGCTGTTACTTTACTTTTTATATAAACTTTTAAACAAAAGTGAAGTCATCAACATTTTGTTATCTTTAGTATATTTCGGTCATTGGCCTATCTATAAGATCTCATAAATTGGTAACAACTTCTGAAGACTAGGTCTTATCCTACCGTACTCGTCACTGAACCATTCTTTTTATGATCCTGAATGTGTTGGATATTTATTATTAATTTCCTTTACCACATTATATTATCATATTCTAATAGTGTTTAAAAAAATATTCATTTTCTCAATACAGGTTTTAAAAACTTTTCATTGAATAAAACTAAACTGGGTCTTGTTGTTGTATTTGTTTTGTTCCTTTGATTTTGAACACTACAGCGGGCACTATCAGCAAAAGACACAACATAAAATAGTTTTATTCAATAATATGTCTCGCATAAATTGCAAATCATTCATATAAGTTTATCATTTTTATGTAAAAAAACGATTTTAGTATCAATTGTATACAAAATATGAACAAATGTTAAGAATGACTTTTGAAGACATTGGAGTATATTTGTAGTTACCTTTAAGAAGGGCATCCGAGCCTCTATCCTTGAGGTAAGCGGCAGCGCCTGCAACAAAGGACATGTCCAGGCTGTCTCGAACGCTGACTACTTCGTTGGGCGTCACCAGCACAGTGCATGCCGGCGGTGGACATCCTACGCGGGGGTCCGCCTTCTTAGCTCCATCTTTCTCTTCTAGGGCCTGAAATAGGGTAAATTTGGCATTAGGTTTGTTTTATACAAATCTGCAACTTATCATGAATCTTGTCAAATGGGGTGATCGGAGTTTGTTACTAGACTTTTTTATAAACTGAATGCAGAGCGAAACATTAGAAGTTGGTTTTGTTTTTCGTTTATTAAAAAAATTTACTTGTTTTATTTCTATAATCTTTGATACAATTTGTTGCCGAGTTTTCCCATTAAGAGTTAAGTCAAAGTCAAGTCAAATATATTTATTCAATATAGAACCATTACACTTACTTAATGATTGTCAAAAAACTCTACTACCGGTTCGGAAAGAAAGCCACTGACCTAAAAAGAAAGAAAGAAAGAAAGAGAAGAAGTCATAGACACTTGTGATGGGAGCTATCCGCTACTATCACTGTGGCCTACGAAAGAATACGTACCTGAGCGGCGTGCAGGAGCAACGATTGGAGCCAGGACGAGGCGGTGGGGTCGTCTGGGGCCGCCAGCAGCAGCCTGCTGGAGTCCCCCAGGGCGATCTCGAAGCAGTGCGGCCTCCTGGACGAGTCCAGGTGGCGCCTCACCCCCACCACGGAGCGCAGCGCTATGTTGTGGGGCAGCGGTGACGTGCCGTCGGGCGAATGCGGCCCCCAATGCAGCACACCTGCCCTGCGATGGCGATACGAACTTTCGAGTGACAAATGCAACGGTAGAAAAATTAGGGTGGACCGTTCGCCTGATGTTAAGTGATAACCGCCGTCCACGGAATTTTCAACAACTAGTAGGGTTGCAGATGCTTTGGCGACTTTAAATAAGGTGGGTCACGCCGGTATTCTGTGAGGTCGTGGTAATCACCCTGACGTTCTCAGTCTCCATTCGTGTAACAGCGAGACTTTTGCGTGGCCCCACTGTATTAAAAAGCAATGAATTCGTAAGGGATAAATATATGCTTCTATCCCGACTGATAATGAGCAGTGAATTAGTGCCATATATTTTGAGAAGTGGTAAGACATTTCTCTCTTGATATGAAGATTCTCGTCACATTACATATTGATAATTGCATTCCTTCGCTGTATACATAATGTACCTCTAAGTATGAATTCGGAGAAAGTGGACAAGATTAAATTATGCACTCTCCGTGTACTCTCCGAAATATAACTTATGATATTGTAGGAACGAAAATAAATTCGATCATTTGATTTGGATGCAATCATCGAAAATTGAATCGTTGTGGTGTGCACTAATTTCCCTCAACCATCTTTGTGGCGATTTTGATGTTATTAAAAACACGAGAGATCGTATTTGATATATAGAAATTGAATCCCTACGGGGAAAAATAACTGATTTACATTTTTAATTTCCTCTAACATACATAATTTTAACATCGTACTTCATATTGAAAAAATACAGTACAGCGCAACAATCCCATAAACATATTTTCTTGCTAATTAATATGTGCCTAGCTACATGTTTGCTGTGAGGACATTTAATGCGGTAATATTATTAAATTACTGTCATTATAATGTAGAGAGCGATGCCCTGGACAGTGTTGACATAAATATTCCTTCAATCCATTATACTTAATATGTTTACATGTCTTACTTTGAAAAAAACAATATTAAAGCGACCTGATAATAAGAAAGTTTAAAAATATTCACTTCGCAGTGTGCAAACGCGCGGACAAGAAAAAAACAAAAACAAAACAAACTGTTTTTCATAACAATTTTTATCTGTTGAAAATAACCTTTCTCGCACAAGTTAATATAGACATGTCGCGGACTTTTAACGAGCGTGATATCACAAACCCAAATGCTCAGGTTTTGAATCTTTTTGATATACATATTATAGAATATTTTAGCACATTTGGAAGGATTGTATCCTTGTTGTGATGGGTATGGTGAGGTTGCCACTAACCAGTTTGCCATTCGAGCAGACAATTGAAATAAAATTATCCTTAAGCGTCTGCTCAAACTTGTACGTTATAGGCACATTAGTTAGGCTTTTAATACACACATTAAATTATGCTGCAGTCAAAGATATTTCGGAAATGTTTTTCAGTATTATCCTTCCCCTTCTATGAGAGGAGAAAACTCGTTGTTACATTACCTCAATAAGAAATAGCTGGGTTCGAATCGCCTGCCCTTGTCGGTCCTGCACATTAGGTAGCCCTCGAGTGGCGGGGCGAAGGCGCCGGGCGCCTCGATGAGTCTGTCTCCGGCGTCGCCCGAACACGCTCTTCCGTAGTATAAGATTTCAGGAATCTGTGAAAAAAACAAAAACAAACGGATGACTTCTAGGTATTTACTAGCAAAACATAAAAAAATGTATATACATTAATATATGAATAAATAACTGTGGTATGGCAACGCAACACCCTTCGTCTGGTGAGTGAATAAACGGAGCCCACATTAATAAAAGGTTTTGCAAATGCCCATGGGCGTGTTTATCACATAACATCAGGTGAAACGCTTCTCATTTGCGACCTTCTTACATAAAAAAAAACGTTCACATCGTGCCAAGGAAGAAAGATTACATTACATACACTCAAGTTCCTTCAATCGTTTTCCCTTCTCTTCATCAATAAATCGATAAAATAAAGAGCTCCATGGCTAAAGAGTTGAATGTCCGAGATCTAAATTAACGCCCGGTTTCTGAAAAACTGATCATCGTAGATGTCAACTAATCAGCCGTCAAATGGCTTTTCAAATTTCATTTTAGTTGCCAAAAGGACGGTTAAACTCTCTGAATTGACCAGAATGATCTTCTAATGATCAGAACGATCAATCCAAAGAGTTTAACCATCCTTTTGGCAACTAAAATGAAATTTGAAAACCATTTGACAGCTGATTAGTTGACATCTACGATGATCAGTGTTTCAGAAACCGGGCGTTAGTATTGCTGATTCAATTCAGTAAGTAATTATAACTAATAGCAACTCTGATATTTCTTTGTATACCTTATGTTCGCAGTTGACATATTAACGTACGTTATGTAGCTAGCGAGGATTGTGGATGTCCATGAGTGGCGGTAATCTCCTTATATCAAGCGACCGACAAGTTCGTTTCATAAATCTCTCGTAAGTTCTCGTAAGTAAAATCGCTCGTGAAAATGATACAACTGATAAGCACTAATAAGACACGATAATACCACAGTAATTATAAACAAAACAATATCTGAAAATACGAAAAGACTATCGTATTCTTTGGAATACATTCAGGCAACTAGTCAGTACGTAATGCCTTGGTTTGTGATTTTTAATGCATCTCTCGCTGTATGGATTGTCGGCGTGACCTAATTATTCGGTGAGAATCGTTGACGTGCATTCGTGTTCTAACGTTTACTCTTCGCCGAGTTCACCTATTAAACTTCAGTGTGCTCTGCCGTGAATAACGTTCTGCAGGCGTGTACAGTTCGAAAGACGAGCTTTATAATAACTTCACGTAACTTTAATTAATTGAAGCAAAGTAAAGGACCACCGTCTTGTTATAGGTCATTTGCAGTTTGGCTTCGTCTGTTACGAGTGCTATTTATCATTTAATATCCTAACTACCCTTATATAATTACCATCTTTTCCAATAATTAGGATATTAAACGACATTGATACTATACGAACTATTGTTTGCGTACTTAACGTAAACATATAGTTCATATAGTTACCCTACTTTTATACCGGTATGTATGCTGCAAACTACATATGCGAAATGTCGATAGCTAAAATATAAATTAGTATTCACATTTAATCCAAGAAATCGTTAAACGTAGCTAGCTTACGTCAGTTTGTAAAGTCTTTGAGATAACCACGGTTTTAGAACGTTAAAATTCATCTTTTTAGTAATAACAGCTTTCTTACAACCTTAATCCGTGAGCCAGAAGTAATTCTGAGTTACGGCTTAAAATTGTGTTGTTTTTATACGTGTGCGATTACGTTGAACATCTAATTATTCTATTCTCTTAGGTTTGTTTGAAGTCGGAAGTCGAACATTTTAATATTGTTTAATTGACGTGAATAGTAAGTAAGCAAGTGTTGCGTAAATACGTGACGCAATCAACGTAACATGTAAGAAGAGTACGTTCGAGTGCACGGTACATTTTCTTACGGTACTGTTTCGTTAATAAATAGGTCGTTCACGAAGATCGACGCTAAAACCAATGGCAAATAACCGAGGTTCGTTCCACTCCGAGACCTTGCTCTGTGGGTAGGACGGTGCTTGCTACATTGACCCTAAGACGTAAGGTCACGTTTTACGGGCAACTGCGTGATATCAAAACTTTCACTAGTTTGCTGAACCAACGTTCCGCTAACGCCCTGTCTCATTGGCGGGGCTACGAATGCAGCATTTTCTTTTGGTATAATTTAATAGATAACACTTTGTTGAATTGTCTTCATAATTAATTTTTTTTGAGTATTTATTATTTTTAATTCACTGCGAGTGCGCGCACAACAACTCCTGAGATTTATCACATAAGAAGAATACCAATAGAACTCTTAATATGGTGACAATATACAACAGAGAACACGAAGTTAAGATTTTATTATGCAATTTTAGACTTTTTTCCCTAGGAAAAAAGGCTAAAATTGCATAATAAAATCTACCACCATTTTATAACAAGAGTGTAAGCCGCTTGCGAATCCTCATATTATTAACTCTCCACATGGTATAATGTTGTGTACTTTTGCCTTATCCGGTATTTGTCCAATAAGTATTGCGTATAGCAAAAATTGCGTAGAATATACTTTTCATACCCTACATTACGTCGTTTCAAGTCGAAAGTCCTGGGGTTCATAATTTCAAAAATTACCTCAGAGAAGTTAACACAAATTTTATTCTCAATCTGTGATGTTATCACCATTTTAAATTCACCAAACATTGTGTTATTTATTGTAATAAGAACATTAGTTTTGTAGGCGACATTATCCAACTACGGAAACTTTTGTCATAAAAAAAATTTTTGATTGAATTTAGAGATTTCAGTATTAGAGTAAATCTTCACATCTTGTATTTCTTGAGATACGCCAACCATTTTATATACTTTACATATACTATTTTATATAATGATTCAATGATCCATTATGAGACTTTATATATACATAGAGCATTCTTTTTCTGTTCTAAATTTGTGTATTAAATATACTAACATAATATTTGTAAAGTATAACTTTACAAATATTAAAGCTGAGTAATATAACGGTACAAATATATAATTTTTGCACCGGTTGATTCCTTTCCTAAGTCTCACACTTATCTTATCATACCAGATTTATATTTTAAGATTTTTATCTCCATCTTTCTATGACAGTAATTTCAGTGCTTCTCAAATTTATTGTTCTTTACAGAGTTATAACATAATACCTACCTATATAAATAGTTATCGCTTAAAAAATTCCAGACTTATTACAATGTTTTGAACGAAATAAAGGTGAGCGCTTATACATAAACAACTCGAGTCTACGAAAAAAATAATTCGGTTTCTCAGGGCGTTCTCAATCAATTTTCATACTAATAAATATTTTTTATTTATTTCCTGCACACAATCTTCGTAGCTCGTTCCGTGCGCGGTATGGGGAAAAGTTCTCCGTCATGCGGGACCAAGCAGATGTGCCGTGATAAGAGTATAATATGATTCGGCCTTAGAACGCGTCCGTTACGCTTTCATTTTGCAGATTTCGTACGGCGATGCTCATATTAACGCTAATAGCCTTTTATATATTTCAACGCGACCAATAATTCTCTCCCGGAACGATACAACACAATACGAATGTATCGCAATGTAACACCTAACCTAATTCCTTTATATGCTGAAACAGAAAGAGATCAAACATTTATTTTATTTTAAGAACAAAATAGATATTTTTCGTCTTTAACACACAGTGTATACTAACGCCCGGTTCAAGTTAACCAAAGAAATGAACGCTTTTGGCTTCTGCCAAAATCACTACGGTCAGAATTTACGTGTCCACGAATCCAAGTGTACATCGCGAAGAAAGCGATGTATGAAGGGGCGATTTTGAAAAGTTTACGCTATACATTACGATCTGTATCGACTGATTTTTTCCGTTTTCAATTTTCTTCACTTCGCCGAACTCAATTGAAAATCTGGTCGGCGAAATTGTGCAGTACAATGGAAGCTAGATTTAATCGTCCGTTTCGAAGTTGCTAGTGGCAAAAGACCTAGGTTCGCGGGCACAAAGTTGAGCAACGTTCGTAAGATAATTGTAAGTTAATTGTTAAATTTCCATTACCACTTCAATGAAATCAAATCAAAAAGCTTAGATGTAGTGTGTTTTTCGTTATCATGTCTACGGTACCTTTCTTAAAGTGAAATAGTAAGCCCAAGCTTTCTTTTACCCTGTAAAGCAACATTACCAGTTAATACGGGATACAGATATCTGGTGCACCATGCACGTAATTAACATTGCAAATTGGATTAAAATCAGTTCAGCCGTCGGGACGAGGATTGATAATACACACGCAATCATTCTTTTTTCAATGTTTAAAAATAATACAAACGCGTATTTTAATCAAATTATTATTAATAAAATAAAAACTAACTACAAACATGTAACTCACGTAAATGTACCTAGGTAATCTAGGAAGGAGTCTAAGGTCCAAAACCGATCAATTTATTATAGGAACACATAGGAGCAAAACCGAACGCAATGCAAAAATAATTTTAATGAATTAGAGCTCTGAGGTATTAAATATAATAAATAAAAAAAATACAACCGAATAGAGAATCACCTCCTTTTTCGAAGTCGGTTCATAAATGAATGAATGAAAACAACGAATGAATCGGTCCTGGCTGAATCGCTTCAAGGACGTTCATCCGCCAACTTTTAAAACCTTCAGCGACACGAATGGCGCAACGGTTAGAGAGGTAACCTCGCCGGCTGTTGTATAGAGTAATGAATAAATTATTGTCCCGGACCTGACGTATTTTTTAGAACAGAGCGCGAGTCTTTCTATACTCGAGTCCGAAGCCAAAAAAGAAGGGTTATGCGTTTCGCATGCATTTTTACGAATGATATAGCGTTAGAATCATCTTTATTGCACGATTTTATTCGATTTATTAAAGCATAAAGTATATTTAAACTACTACCATTTATAAGTACAAAACTATATACACTTATACTAGCGACTCTCCCTGGCTTCGGGTGCAATGTATTAGACATATGAATCTCTTGAATCACTCTATCTAGTAAAAAAAACGCATCAAAATCCATTGTGTAGTTTTAAAGATCTAAGCATACATAGGGACGGACAGACAGCCGGACGACTTTGTTTTATACTACGTAGTGATGCACAGCAAAGAGACGTTTACATTTCAAGTGACATTTAACCACAGTCACTCACTTGTTTCGCCTTCCCGGAACCCCTCCACTAACTTTTTCAGGCAATTTCTTTTCATTTTTTCTTTCATAAGAACCTTTTCCTGATAATAACAAATACAACAAAAAAAAGTGAAATCGGTCCAGCCGTTCACGCGTGATGACGTGACCAAGGGAAATAGGGATTAATTTTTATATATACAAGAAGATAAATAAAACATATTCACAAATATACAAAAACCGTACCATTATCTATAAAAACGGCAAAAAAATCATGTCTGTTGTATGGGAGCCCTACTTTAATATTATTTTATTTCGTTTTTTAGTATTCGATGTTATAGCGCCAACGGAAATACATAATCTGTGAAAATTTCAACTGTCATACTATCACGGTTCATGTTACGGGTGACAGACGGACAGACGGCGGATTCTTAGTAATAGGGTCCATTTTACCCTTTGGGTACAGAACCCAACAAAAAATCTGATAGAGTTGGGTTTGTTAGTGATTTCAATTTTTTTTTAAATGGTAAAACCGCAAACTCACCCGTTTCTCGTGCCGCTTCCTCGTCACAGCCGACGCGAGCTGGCGGCAGCTGAGGGGCAGCATGGCGGGAGGACGCTGGATGCGCAGCGGCGATGTCCTGGCGCTCCACTCCAGCGACGATGCCAGCCTTGCACCCAAAGAGCCCTCGGCAGTCACCACGGAGCAGGCGATGTTCCCCGCCACGTCTATTACTTGGACGTACTGCGCTTCCGGGCCCACCTTGAGGAACAGCCCTGGTTGAAATCCTCCTAAAGTAACGAACACGCCTAGCCGTTTGGACCTGGTTAAAATGCTCCTAAAGTGACGAGCATGCCTAGCCATTTGGGCCTGGCTAAATCCTCCTAAAGTCACTAAAACTCCTAGCCGTTTGGCATAGGTTAAAATTATCCTAAAGTAACGGAAACGCCTAGCCGTTTGGGGCTGGTTAAATCCTCCCAAAGTAACGAAAACATCTAGCCGTTTGGACCTGCTTAACATCCTCCTAAAGTAATGAAAACGCCGAGACGTTTGGGAGTGGTTAAAATCCTCCTGAAGTAACGGACATGCCTAGCTTTTTTGCCACAAATTCGACATTCGAAACTGTGCTCACTATGCTATAATGCAAGTTAGCCTTTAGGGTAAGGAAACACAGAGCTTTACATGTTATTTAGGTGACACCAGTGAGGTATATAATACAAGGGATACATGAATATATCAATTTTTTGTAGGGGAATAATTAGCTATATTTTATTTTTATTTATTTTATGTGAAAAGTTGCCAAACGAGCAGACGGTTCACCTGATGGTAGGTGAATACCGCCGCCCATGGATATCTGCTACACCCGAGGGTTACAGATGCGTTGACAACCTTTTAAAAATTGGGCTCCGGCTACCTCACTCACCAGACGAAACGCGAAAGTATTTGACATACTTCCACTTTACGCTGGTCTTCTGTGAAGATGTGGTACTTACCCGGACGGGCCTGCCCATTCGTGCAACAGCCGAAGCTGCTGCGTGGCCCTACCACCGTTGAGCTATCTTTATTTGAAAAGTAGATATCTTAATGTACACAAATACATTGGGTTGAGGAATAAGGTAATTTTATTTTATATTGCCGTCCATACTTTAAATTAGTAACTTGTACATTATACTGTGTTGTAAAGGAGGATTTTCGTACACAAAAATATAATAATTTTGAACACAAAAAAAAACCGACTTCAAACAGGAAACTAAAAACATTGTCACCTATAACATTTAAGGATTGCCCTCGATTTCTCTGGGATCCAACATCAGATCTGGGTTTCATATCATGGGATATCTCCTTTCCAACAAAAAAGAATCATCAAAATCGGTCCATAAATGACGAAGTTATCCCCGAACACACATAAAAAAATATATACAGTCGAATTGAGAAAGCTCCTCCTTTTTTGAAGTCGGTTAAAAATTCACATGTAATAATATCCAGATGGGAAAAAATTATCTGTAGATCACACAAATACTTGTTCCGTGTAGGTATCGAAGCTAAGATCGGCGGCGGCGAAGCCAATAGCTTAGCTATGCGCTAATCGCCATTAAGAAGTCTATGAAGTTAATAAATTTGGGAATCACTACTTCAATCGAATAAAAACGGTATCAGTTAATGTTATTGAGTCAACACAATATCATAAGATCGGTCTTCATTATTTAACTGTCATGTTATTCGAATAAAGTAGAAATCATAACAAAAGCATCAAAGATAAAATAATTAGTAATCGCGGCAATAACTGTGGCAGGGCCACGAAACAGTCGGCTGTAGCACGTATGTGGGAGTGTTATACTTGTGCGTTTCGTCTGGTGAGGGAGCCGGAGCTTTTTTCACAGTTATCAACGCATTTACAAGCCATCGGGTGTTGTAGATGTCCATGGGCGGCGGTATTCTCTTAACAACAGTTGAACCGCCTGCATGCTTGACAACTTTTCACATAAAAAAAATTGTATCCCCGCGTTTTTGTATTAAAGCATTCAATATTCTTTATCGTATGAATAAAAAATAACACTTAATTCCAATTGTAGTTCAGCTAATGTTATAGCAAATTGTTACCTGTCTGAGTTATTATATTCTTATTGCTTATTTAGTACACTTCCGAATAGATACTCGTAAATGATATACGTATTGACCAGAGACATGGTAAAATTATACTCTAGTAAGAAGCTTAAGATAGTTATATGGTTGATTGACGCCATATACAATTCAGTCAAATAATGAGGTCATCACTTCGGCGATTTAAGGACTTACCGCTATAGCGTCCAATTCATTGTGCGGCAGTCGGCACAGCAATTCGTACTCGGTGCCGCCCGGCTTAACATCAGCCACGTAAAGGGCGTAGTCCGTAATGAAGACAAGTAGAGGGGTCCACGATCCATCCTCCATGTTGTAGGGAGACTGCACCTTCATCATCTACGAGAGAAAAATTATCAATCAACCAATCTAAATTAGAAATATTCAATACGATTCACTTTCAATATTATACGTTAAGCATGTTACTTTTTTTAGAAAGTCGTAAAATTGCATGGGATGTAGGGCTGCTTGTGTGAACTAAGGTCAAGTTCGGGCAGATTGGAAATAATCTTACGAGCGAAACTTGTGCATACATTATAATTGTATCCATAAACCATCTTCAGGTAGGATTTATTATCTTATCATATGTATAGGGACAAAATTAATTTTGTATCCTTTATCTGTTTTTTGTGTCAACTGTTTGGTTGGTGAGATAAGTCCTAATTAAAGGCGACAGGCTGAATTGATTATCACGTACCCTGTTCAACGTCTCATTGGGGTACGAGAACAGCTGTAGTCTCAGTTTCTCACTGCATTCGATAGCGACGTTGTCCTCGAAACTGTCGAAGTACGACGGTTCGTCGGCCGTCAGTAGGCGCACTGATAGCCTTTTGTTCTCAATCACCTCCTTGTCTATCAGACGCGACATCCTCTCTGCAGAAACGCGGAAGCTTTGAGACACGTCTTTGAACGGAAATATGATGCTCGGGAATTCCTTCTCCAGACGCAGTTTGAATTGGAAGAACTTGTTGTTCTTTATCTTGAGCTCGAGGTCCTTCTTTTGGCAAACGTTCTTAAGGTATCTGTTGAGTAGGGCGGACTTGTTCGATTGCAGCTTCTGATTGGCTGGGCTGTCGAAGAACTCCTCGTTAAAGTCGTCTGCGCCTTTCAGCGTGGAGTTGTCCGTGTTGGAACAGTTGTCGCTGTTCGCCAGGGTGGTCTCATCGGTCATTTTCTGAACAGTCGACGCCGATTTGCGATATCTATTGACGTTTTGCTTCTTCGGAGATGACAGGTGCTTCGAGATGCCGTTCTTTTGTTCGGTCTCCTCTTGAACGTTTTTGTTGAACTGCCTCTTCGGTGTGGATGTCCGGCTGGACGGCTCGCCGTCACCTTGTTTGGTGTTCAAGTCGGTTTTGCTTGCACTAGTGACGAGCTCCATTACTGGGGTAGTCTCGGGTATCGGTACGAATGTTTCTTTGGGCGCGTCGAAGGCGGTCTGGAAAGTGTCATGCACGTAGCTGTACGAGACACCCTTGTGCTCGTATACCGTGCTTTCACAGTTGACGACGAACTTGCTCAGCGGTGGGAATGCTTCGGCTTTGTTCACGAGTTTCTTATCGTTTTGCGACTTCATGTTTAACGTTAGCTTGTGGCGCGGGGAGCCGCCGTTAGGGTTCCGATCTTCAGCCGCAGGGTTCTTGGAGTTGTTTGGTATTTGTTTAGGTCTTTCTGCATCCGGTTGAGTGTTTAGATTTATCTCGACAAAGTCCTCATCGTCATCGATTTGAAAGCCGGAATCGAGACTTTTGGACAGATTTCTGTTCTGATTAACGTCACATGGTAACGCCTCGACAACATTGTTGAATTCAATACTGGTTTCCGGTAGACCCTTTTCTGTTGTGAAATTGAAGTTAAAGTTTCTGTAAAAATTCTTAAGTGAATCAATAATGTTGTTTGCATCGAGCAGATTTAACACTTTGTTGTTTTGCTTCCTCTCTTCAACAACATTGGTTGTTATGTAACGTTTCTTTTTTAGAACAGACTTAACTGTTATAGGACTTTGTGAAACCTCTAATGGTTTCTTCATTCTGTCATGATTCTGATCAATGTCCGCTTCCGAAAAGTATGTTTTTCTCATGAACGCTACATGTCCGTTATTAGCAAATTCATCGCACGAGTATGATTTCTGCGTTTTGTCACATTTCCTGTGCACGGGCGACGTTTCCGTTTTATTGGAATGGGAAGACGATGAGTCACTCGACGATGACTCAGAGTCGCAGCTGAAGTTTGAATCTGAGCTGTTGGAGTCGCAGCCGTACAGCTTTCCATTGGACTGGGTTACGTTATTATTGTCTTTATCCTTATTATTATTTGTATTGACGTCGGCTGGTTCGTAAGCCTGGCAATATTCAAATATGCCACTTCGATCGTGCTTAGAATCGCCATAGGTGAGGATGTCAGACATGGTCTGTTGAGCAACATCCGCTGCATACTTGGGCGTTCGGTCACCCGAAGCACACCATGAGAACCGATCACTTGCATTGGTATTTTTTTGTTTAAATCGATCACAGTAAGTACTATCCGGTCTATATGAAATGAAGCCACGTTCAATATGAATGTTATCGGTTTTCGTGTTATTAAGAATGTCCTCATGGAATGATACACGCTTCTTTTGAGAACTAGGGCCACTTTGTGACTTTTTTCGACACCTTCTTCGATATACTATATCTTCAGACAGTGACTTCTTCGGTTCTGAGGTCCTCAAAGCTGGTTTTCTTACTTCCTCTGTACTGACCTTTTCACTTTCTAAAGCTTTTAAAACAACATCTGGTAAATTTTCATACATTGGAGGTTTTTTATTAGTTTCAACCAGCAATTCAGGAACAATATCATCTCCTACATTCTGATTATCTATATCACTTCGAGTCATGATACTGCTGGTGGTGCTTTTGATCATATCTTGAGAACATGAAGGTATCGCATCATATACACTGTCGCAGGCTAATTCTTCTGCTCCAACAAGACTGTGCGTCATGAAAGCTTGACTAGTAGCCTCGGAAGCTTCGCTATCGAGACATAAAACACCAGAATCACCGGGAGTATCAGCCAAACTACTCGTTGTGCTAGAGATCAAGTGAGAATTTCCTTGTAAACTTAAGTCCATAGGCTTTCCAGAGCATTCATCTACTTCCTCCATTTTAGTGTAAGGAATAGTATCTTCGCCTCCTCTATTTACTCCTGGCGCAATAACAGTGTCGTCAGTTTTATGACGACGTTTGGTTTTATCGATCTCATTGCCTTTTATTTCTGCAGCTCTATCGACCGACATTACTCACTGCTTAGGATATATAATTGTAATACAACAAAACTTATTTTGGGTTTCTTTAATAAGATATTATTTCATTGATTACGACACACATTTTGTATTTCATTTTACATAATTCACATTAAAATACGGATTAAGCTAGACGAACACAAAGCAGCCATTTGTAACATTTTGACGTTTGAGAGCGTTTAGAAATCTTTTGATTTCTTCAATACCTACGTTCCGAAATTAGTGTTCGCAGTGTTATATTTTCCTATAAAAAGTAATTAAAAATGTTTTAACAAAGCTGCTGTGATTATTTTGCTTGAAATAATACCTCAAATAGGATGTTTTGCTTCTAATCGAATTTTTGATTATTATTAATGTCACAGCCACTGACTATTTTAATTCTGTATCGCACGATTCTTTTTCACATTGAGTACCTAATAAAATGTGATAGGTACCTATGTCAAGATTTGAAATTTGCCGTAACTTGTGCAGTAAATTTTAGGTTAGAGGTGTTAAAAATAAGTTAATTCAACGCGTTTATCCATGTCGTTGCTAAATGCATAATCATGGAATTATTGCTTAAGATGATAGGTTTTGTGTTAACATTATTTGCTAGTTTATATATATGTGATAGTGCCAAAATAAACACTCCAAGAGTCCTCTTACCTTGGTTTGAAAATTTGTACGTAAATTTTACTTTCGAAATCATTGAAGGAGGCTGTTATAAATGGTAAGTTGTATAATAATGCAGGTATATTTATATAATTGAGTTTTATTATAAACAGATTTTTTAATGCAGGAGTTTGTCTCGCGATGACATCATCGATCTTGAAGCCCTTTACGATGATACTTGGGGTCACTGTTCTCGAGCTGCTCGAGTTACAGTCTCTAAAACATGTATACCACCCGGATCAGTTATTATTTTAGCTGAAGAAGTGAATACCGGCGAGGTATGTTACTTTTAATATTTGGCGGGAAAATCGTTTCTATCTGTTTATATACATTCAAGTAGGCATAGTCTACAACCATGTCCTCCTACAATATTCTAAAACGATTCATTTCATAACAAAAATTTGTTTTTCTTAAAATGAAGACAATAAGATGTTCACATTATGAAAATAACAAGATTTTAAAAATTGTTAAATTTTTAAAGATAAGTATAATATATCCTTTTTATGGTTTATTAATATTTTATTAAAACATTTAGCTAAAGGAAAATTTTAGATATATGGTATTAGATCTTAATTAAATGAATATCTTTAAAATTTCTTCATATTGTTTTGCCAGTAATGGTAAGATCCATTACTGTTTCATTATGTTAAAACAAAATATTATATAATAATTTTCAGATACTGCGAGGTGATGTTGATATTGATCAGATAAGTTTATTGAAAGTAGCAAGCACAACTTGGAAGTTGTTTTTGGAAGAGGCACCGGAAGCTTTTGAAGTTGTAGCTTATGATGACCAAGGTATGTTAATTTTATTTTCTAGGACTAGGAACAATTAAAAAAAAACTTAAATTGTATAAGATTAAAAAAAATTGTATAGTGTGTTAAATAACTTTTGGAAGGTAATGCTTGTATTTTTTTATAGGGAACAAATTTTCATCACTTGAAGGAATCAGTTTTACTTGGACTATTCAGAACCTTGGCAAGAACTATGGAGAAGATCCTTTAGTCACGTAAGTTAAATATATGTAACAGTCACAAACTAGAACCTTTTGGGTGGTGATAATTTTCTTCTTTTCGATGAAGCCATTCACAGTTATATTTCTTTTTATTCTTTCAGACTAGTTCGTTGGCATGATACAGACTACGAAGCTCCACCAGGCATAACAGAATTGGAATCAAAGGGTCTAAGATCACATTCAGTGCTCCTGTATGGGCAGGCAATGGGAGAGTGCCAGGTGACAGTTTGCATTGGGAATATATGCACAGACTTTAATTTGCAAGTTGTTGCTAGTGTTGTATTATACCCTGCTACTGCTGTTGTTGCCCCTGGTGACACATTGCGATACAAGTGAGTGGGTTGATAAAATATTTAAAGAATAAAACATAATATACCCACAAAATGTTATAATTTCACTATCTTATTTTGCAGAGTTGTAAGAATGCGTGCAGGCAAGCTCACTGTACAAAATGTTGTAGACACATTATACAGTTTAAGATTGCCAGAAAATAGTATTGCAAAACTTGAGGACGCTATAAGCTTGGTGAGAGGCACTGATATTGGTTCCACCACTGTCTTATTAATGTCAGGAACAACTGAAGTAGCTACTGCTTTATTAACTGTGGCTGAACCACACAGCATTAGAGTTACTCTGAGGCCAGCAAACTTAGTTGTGTATGGTAAAATATTTACCATTCATTGTGTTGTGTATGATGCTGAAGGACATGCCTTAACAGCTGGTGACGAAATGCTTATCCGTTTGTCAGTGGAAGGAGAAGCTAATATTGATTTATTAAGATCAACCGAGAATGGTACAATAACTCATGCAGTGGCTCAGAATGAAGGGCCATTTACAGTAACAGCAAAATTGTACTCCATTGCTGGTAGAACATTAATGACAAAGGTAAATAACATAAAATTGTTAACTTAAATTTAATTTCTCCAATATTAAATTTGGTGTGCAAAATCGAATATCCATCAGAAATTTGTTCAATTTATTGTATACTAGGTACCTGCCCCGGCTTCGCATGTGTACAATGTGCCTACTTTATTAATGTAAATATTATGATTAGACTACTACATTAAATACGCGCAGCATGTGTGTGAGTGCTGGCGAGGACTTCTTGTGTCTTCTGGAATCTTGTCATGCAATAGTTTTATTTTTAATTATTAGGTACATGAAATACTTAAGGTAACTAAAGTGTTTTATTTTATAAGAATTAATATTTTATTTTCCCAAATAGCTACAAAAGGCTAATCGCTGACTTTGTGAAAAACAATTTCATCATATTATTTAAGTTATTTCATAGTATTTCAAAATTCTTCACTACAGTTACTCTGAGTTTAAATCCTGGTGCAGGCACCAATTAGACTGATAATTGTAATTTTAAGTGTTGACTTATAACATGCTAACTTGTAAAAGATAACACTGTGAGAAAAGTTCCATATGTTGTAAATAACTATACCGCTATAAAAAAACCACCATTTCTCAGAGAGGTCGCATGGTGGACTATGCTCTAATATCCTCTGTACAGAGGAGACTTGCCCAGCAGTGGGTAACATATAGGCTGTTACTTTATATTTTTTAAGCACCAGTTATTTAATATTCTTCTTGAATAATATAAATATTGTTTTAGGTGGAAGGAGAGGTGTCAGCAATTGCAGTAGAGCCATTAGAAATTGTACCACCAGAACTATTCATTGCTTGGAGTGATAGCCCTCAGTAAGTTGATGAATGTTTATGCTGAAATTAAATAAGATTATTTTTAAATAAAATAAATATATAATTATCTATTGCAATCAATTCAGCATTTGACATAATTATCTTGGCTTAAAATTGACACTTTGACAGAATCGAAATAATGATTCGTGTCACCTAAGTCTTTGTAGCTTTGCAGTTAACAATAATAATGATAATAAAATGTTACATAACTATTGTGTATTTACTTTATAGGGAAATAAAACTGAAACATCGCGGCGGGGGTGACGAACCAGTGACATGGTCTGAAAGTGAAACGGTGCTGCAATCACATGCTGCTTTCTCGCTCACAACTACGGGCGTTGCTACCGTGCGTGGTGTTGGTCAATTGGACGTCAAAGTACACTTGAAGAAGTACCCACACGTCCATGCTAATGGCAGGTGCGAAAATATTTTATTTGTATATCAGCCTTTACCGTCTGCCTTGTTTGCAAACATTTACATTTGATGGATGGCATGGGTTTAAGGGCCTTTGACAAACATAGAAGCCATGCATTTTTTGTCAAAAAAGTGTCCTAAGATAGTGTATGGTTCATAGATTGCAGTAAAAAAAGTCTGAAGAATCATTTTCCAGAAATGAAACATTTATAAAAATTAAATTTTGACTGTAGTAATATTAAAATGTAACATTAAAGTGTGAAAAGAAGTAGTCAGTATTTACGTTTCTTAAAGTGTGAAATAAAAATTTCAATGTTTAGTTTTATTTTTGTAATTATTATTATATTAATAATATAGTTTTGTCTATTACTTATTATTAATTGAACTTGAAACATTCATACGGAATTCTTTTATTTTTAGGATCTGGTCTGCGGTACCAGAATTAGTCCAAGTATCAAGTTCAGGTCACGCACGTATCGGCAGACCACATCACTTACACATTGCCTTAACTGCCACTCATCCTTCTACTGGGGAGCTATACAATTTCCAAATGTAAGTATTTGAATTGGTCACACATTATGATAAATGACAAAATAAATTATGATTAAGTTAATTGATTGCAATTGTTTATCTGATTACTGAATTACTTTATGATTTGTGTTATAGAAGTCAAAAATTAACTGAAATGTGAAAAATACATGAAATTAAACTAAATAAATAAAAATAATTTTTAATGTTTATATGGCTTATTGAATAATGCATTTGTTTTTACTAAATTTTATATCCAATACAGATGTAATTGCGCATCCTTCGCCGTTTCCTTGCTTGAGGGTCCCGAACCACAGAATGTGACAGCAGCTACGTGGGTGCAGCCTGTAGGTAAGAGAAAATATTGATTTTTTTAAAATGTTATTGTATGAGGCAACATGTATGTCGGGAGTGTAATCTATTTTAGACCGACCGACGTTGTCCTGTACACATCTCTTAAATCCTACAAGAACTTGTAAATTAAAAAAACATGTAATAGACCGAATTGAGCATTTAAGCCATTCTCGAATCCAGTTGAATATACACAAAAAATTTCATCAAAACCAGGCCAGCCGTTTAGGAGGAGTTCAGTCACATACACAAGCACAGAAGAATTAAAGATGTTTTTTTCTTTCTTTCAATCCTTACTTCCTTACTAATATTATAAAGGCGAAAGTTTGTATGTATGGATGGATGTTTGTTACTCTTTCACGCAAATACAACTGAATGGATTTTAATGAAACTTTACAATAATATAGCTTATACATCAGAATAAGACATAGGCAAAAATATATAAAGATATTGTGTGAATTGTACAAAATACAGGTAATGATAAGTGTCAACTAATTAGTGTTTAATAAAAAGCTCATTGTTAATTCCCATATAATAATGGTCGCGCGGGTGAAGCCGCGGATAACAACTAGTTATATATATAAAAATATGATAGTAATATTTATGTGCTTGAACGATACATCGATGGTTGCTCTCAATAGTACATGTACGGTGTACTTAAACTACGCGTAACTAATGTGTTCGCAGAGGGCGCGTGCTGCGTGCTGGAGTGCGTGTGGGGCGCGCGCGGCGTGTCGCTGGTGCGGGTGTCGCGGGGGCGCGCGGGGGATGCGGCGCGGGTGGCGGTGCGCGCCGCGCCACGTCTGCACTGGCCGCCGCACGCCGCCGCACTGCTCTCCGCCACCGCGCCGGTCTGGCTGCTTGGTTCTTTTTTTAAATTACCTCTTTGAATTTGGAAAATAGAATGCTACTCATACTTTTGTTTGTTGCTTGGATATTTTTTTTAATTTGAAAGTTGGAATGCTGGAAGAAGCATTCACTTGCATTTGTTTCTATTACACATTTGAAGAGTTGCAAAAATTCTGCTTGTATTTCAAAACCCTATGTAATTGTTAATTAGTTAATTAAGGTTTTACAACTCTTATTGGATCCGTCAATATTGACGTAGGTGGCAATATGTTGATTTCAATGTCTTGTTTAATTTTCAGGTGCTAGCTGAGGGAGAAGCTCTAATTCCATCGTCGAGCGACTCGCGTGTCGCAGACCTTGTATACCGAGACGGGCCGTCGCCTCATAAACATCCAGAGTTACAACTGTTCACCTTCAAGTGCCGTAGAGTATGTTTTTTTTTATTTTTAAATTTATTACTTTGTATGAAGTCTTATATCCCAAAAAGAAAGTGTTTATATGACTAACCATGTGTATTGATCACATTAGTTGCTAGTTACAGTTTGATAACATTTATTAGCTTAAAATTCGTTGGCAGGTGACAAAATTTCATGTTTAAAAATAATTTGATAATATACTTCAGTGAGGATGAAGCCAGGGTCCCATAGTGAGAATCCCAAATCCCAATCCTCACTATAATCAATTCAAAAAGTAATCTAAATGTTCTGTTACAGAAAGGCGATGCCCGACTGGAAATAGCGTCTCAGTCTGATGATGAGCGTGAATCAGTGGAGTTAGAGGTGGCTTGCGCCCCGCACGTGTCCAGGATACGTTTGGAGCCGCCTGCCAGCCCAGGCAACTGTTCGGGAGGGCCAAAGTAAGTTGGTTCTTGCATTTATTTCGGGATAATTAAGTTTGAAAGATTTACATTCATTAAATAAGAATGTCTATTAGTGAGATTACAATATTGTGTTTCAACTAAACATACAAACATTGGAACCAAGACATTGATGATTATGCTTTGTGTGGAAGGGCTTGGCTAATAAGTCTCAATGACCACTGCAACCTAAACGATCTATTGTAGTCATCCCTTCAAGTTAGCCTCCTTCAAACCAACAACCCTAACGAAATTGACGGTCGATGAGGGTCTAAGAGTCAGGGCTTTTTTGGTTGCCAAAATGGGCCCTCGTAGTTCCCGACTCCTAAATATAAGAAATATAAGAATGTCGTAAATATAAGAATTAATCGTGACGTGGTTGAATTTACGCGAATACTCACATTATTAAACAGAATTGCTTTATTTGTTCTAAATTTATAAATGTAACAATAAAAGAATTGAATTTGTTTAATGTGCGTCCTTTATATTTTTTTCCCCGTTTTACAGGTTATGGCTACGTCCAGGTCAAGAGGTTATTGTAAAGGTGACCTTAATGGATGCAATCGGACGAGAACTATTAGACGAGCATGGTCCAAGAGTGACATGGGAAGTTGAACCGCATCACGCGGGGATAGAGTTCAAAGCTGTTGATCGACTGTTTGTCGAAACTGATCCAGAATATGCGCCAGTTCCTGTGCCGCATAAGTATTACCAGGTTCGATATCTAAACAAATACTTTTTTATTACTTGTCTTGTAGTAAATGTACTGATTTTTTGAAGATTCAACTTTTATGACACTGTATAGCGCATGATATATAAGTGATATGTTAGCTAAGATAATCCAGCATAGGCACTTCTAAAACTATATGGTATTTCTAATACTGGATATAATTATCAAAAACGTTTATATACTAATTATTTTTTTCCTTATAATATTGGACTTCGTATTTATAATTCGTATTATCCCTTTAATTTAATTTATTGTAATAAATGTAATTCATCCTAAATTTGATAAAAAATCCAAATAAAGTTAACATTGAAAATCTCTGTAAGAAATTTTGTATTTGCTTAGATACTAAGGTTAACCTTCAAAAAATATTACGTATTACGTACACGTGAATTAACGTTACCTTGATAATGTAATGTATTTTTACAGTTGGTGGTGGCTGACAATCAAGCTATAGGATGGTCGGGCACAATTAAAGCCAGCATTCCAGAGGCGTCGGCGTCTATTCAAGCAAGAGTTGTAGCACCGTTGCAATGCGATCCCACGAAGGTTTGTGCCGATTTAATCCGCGTTTAAGTACTACTCGCTTTAAGTCCTACGTAATTTTATTTCATCCTCATCCTCCTGCCCTTATCCGACCTAGGTAAGGTCGGCACAACATGTGTGTTTTAAGTGGGTTCGATTATGTTTTTTCCGACCGGCCGCCTGCCTGACGTCAACCCTCTTTGGGAAAACGTAATTCTATTTAATACATTAAAATTAAAAATAACTCATAAGTATTAACGCTATTTATATAAGTTATTGTCATTACACCTTTTAACAGAAAAAAAAAAAAACTCACGAGTGTCTTTAATGGTAAATGTTTATGTACATACATAAATTTATCGTCTAATTTTTATTTAATAAAATGAAATGGCGTTGATCTAGTTCATATATTATATTTACTCCAAAAAGTGACTGTTTAACCAATTTGTTTTTATTTTTACGTAACATTACTGTTCCACAGGAACTGTGTAGTTTTCAGTGATATAATGCATACCACAATATAAGCTTCGATGAAAGAAACACAAACATGTTTAGTTGAATGAACAAATTTTACATTCAGCTCGTTCAAAATACGACATTTTTCGCATCAAGTACCGATTACATGCATTATTTTGACGATTCACAAAATAGTCGAAAGATAACCGATTTTATCGTAGACAACATTCTGTCCACTGACAAAATGTTAGATGTGTCTGAAAAAAGTTAGCTTTCATATCACGCTGTAAGCGCGCGGATTGATTTCGAGTGCGGCACAAGCGAGACCGTAACACCCTCCACTGCGCGCACACGCTCGTACTAATAAGTATAATGGTTAGGTACGGAGCCCTCGGCGTGCGGGTTCAACTCGCACTTTGTTGTGTACAGAGTATATTACTTAATATTTAAATATTTTTTTTTTTTTCTTCTTACGTTTAGGAATCTCAAACAGCACAATTTGGCAGTAAAAGATTTTAATAATATTCACTTAACCCTTCTCTTTTTTTTTTTTATGGGCTAGCACTCTAAATTTGAATCCAACGTCCGTTTTTGCAACGACACCCGCGATACTTTTGACCAATTGACCTTTTACTTACGTTCTAACTCCGAACAAGATTACGTGCGCGATTGGCTAACGTTAATACGTTCTGGCCAACCCCATTTCTTTTTTCCCTTGCTCCAAATTCAATATTAAGACAGTTCCTCTACCGCACCTGTGGATAAAAGGAAGTCGTGGACGTATCAGGCCAGAATATTTTCTACACCGGGCCCGGGTCGACGACGGCAACTGAAGATAGTCCAGGTCAAAGCTTGCCAGCCTTTATATTTCTTAACACACTTGAATGTTTTTTTTTTTATTCCCTTATGTGTTACATAACGCACGTGCGGCCAATGACCTCTGCGCCGTCCGCAGGTGAGCGTCGCGTGGGAGGGCGAGACGGCGGCCGGCGTGGCGGCGGTGAGCGGCGGCAGCGGCCGCTACGGCGTGCAGGCGGCCAAGGGCGTCGCCGCCGCCGTGGAGGGCGGCGCGCTCGTCGTGGCCGCGCCCGCGCCCGGCAACTACGACCTGCTGGTGGCCGACCTGTGCGTGCACGGGGAGCGGCAGCTCGTCGAGGTGCCGCTTTTTCTAATTGGGAGGTAGCCAGCGATCTGGTGGCTCTCCGTGTTCCAGATGATGAAGCGCACTCCGGTTACCTCGCTCACCACGCGAAACGCATAAACATAAACATACTATTCGTTTACATCAACCTTAAGAAAGATAAAAAACAATTTAGTATTTATGTATGAAAACTCACTGCATCTTATTATTCTTCATTATCTGTTGGTCTATTTTTTGCTTATAAATTTCACACTGCTGGGCAAAGGTCTCCTCCGTACTGAGGTCTATCTCGCGGCCTCGCCGCGGATTGGCGCACTTCACATATCTTAGAAATATATTTTTAGCTAAATTCTTCCGAAAATATGCAGGTTTCATATTTTCAAATATGATGGCTTGCTTCACCGCGTAACATTAACATTTTCACTGGCACTGGCACCAATGATACTGTCGCGTCAGCACGCACCGGTATCACTAGGGTTGCACTCAATGCTGTGGCACCCATGCAACTGTCCCATCGGCTCGCACCGGTATCGCTAGGGTCGCACTGAATGCCGAGTTGAAAGCGAGCGCCCGAAAACCGTTTCGCAGGTGAACGTCGAAGAGGTGGTCAGCGTGGAGGTGGTGGCGGCGCGCGCGGTGCCCGTGGGCGGGTGCGTGCCCATAAGCGCAGTCGCGAGGGGCGTGTCGCGGCGCTACCTCGGCGCCTCGCGGCCGCCGGAGTGGCGCGCCGCAGGCCACGTGGCGGTCAGAGACGGCCAGCTGTGCGGCCTCGCCGAGGGCGGCGGCCGCGTGCGCGCCTCGCTTGCCGGCCTCTGGAGCCCCGACCTCGAGGTGCCGTTTTCGACCTTGCGTCCATTTAATTAAGAGCGTTTTTAGATTAATTCAACTTGCAAGGGAATCAGCCAGCTGTGCGGCCTCTGGAGCACCGACGAGGACACATCGCGGTGCCGTTGTCAACCTTACGCGTGTACAATTATTGGCGTTTTTAGTTTGATTGTATCCTGCTTGCGAGAGATCGTTCAATTTTCTTGCTATTGACAATTTGACAAAAATAAAGTGGAAGAAATGAAGTTAAATATAGCACAAACGCGCTGGCCAACTGTACCACAGAATATCGACGAGTCTTCTTCTCCAGCGATAAATGTGTACGGTACCCCTTGGCCGATGATGATGGAGCAGCAAGCTGGAAAACTTAAGTCGCATTACTTGAGAGAAGCTAATATCCCACAGTAATCGTATCCGGCAGTGATGCATTTCTATGCATGTGTTGTGTATATTTGACATACGTAAGTAGAAACATAAACTCGAACGACAAGAAATTTCTTACAAATGTCTTCTCAAATATTTAACATTTTTTATACCAAAAAGACACCACAGCCGACGACAAACGTCTAAATTAAAAGAGCCCTAACGGTGAGGTGATTCTCCGCAGGTGGTTGTGTTCCCGGCGCTCCGCGTGGTCCCGGAGAGGGCGCGGCTGCCGCCCGGCGCCAGGCTCCAGCTGCGGCACGCGGGCGGGCCCCCCTCGCACCTCGCCGACCTGCACTACCACCTCGCCCCGCCCTCCCCCTCCGCCTCGGCCCCCGCCCGTCTCGACGTAAGTACATCACCCAAACTACAAAGTTAAATTATGCAACATAGGAGCATTACACTTGCTTATTGAAACACGTTTGAAACACGTGTGTTTAGGTGTAGCGTGGTTTTATTTTATTCACTTGTATACTTAGCTTGAGTTCATGAGTAAGTTTATGATTGCAACCTGTGGCTTTTTTTTTGTAACCAATTACTCATTAGGAATTCCTGCAACAACATATCGTATTGTGCATGGTGCGGTTACATCACTGGCCGAAACACAGACATAAAGACGCTTAATTTACGTTGATAAAATAAATTCCGGTTAATATCTACAGCTAAAGAGATTCGTAAAAAATCTGTCAATCACGTCAACAAAATGTTAAAAAGTGCAAGCGTTTCAACATACTCGACAGTTATTTTAAATGTGTTATTTATTTTAATTAATGAACATGTTACATTATAATTGCTTTTCCCACTTAAAGGTGTCATCGACTGGTTTAGTGCATGGACTTTCAATGGGAACTGCTCGTGTAAGGCTCGTGGCGACCGACATAGCTAACGTCGAAATGGCCAGTGCAGAAGCGGAAATTGAGGTAATTTGTAACCCATGCCAATTCACACTTGTGCGATTACTTGTAGCGAGGTTTTATTTAATTTACTCGCCTACCTTGTTTTTTAAAACTAAAAAACACTATAAAGAAAGCTGATCGACCTTACAGTTATAACTGTGGACATGGGTGCATTAACAAAATGGACATCAAATGTAATAAATACGGGATATTTTTATCCGTTATGCGGTCGTTGTCTATTTTATTCGTGGGCACTATTACAATAATATTTTGATAGCACTGGCAACATTAAGTTACTTATCGCCGATACCAGATTTGTCCATAGGAAGTGTTTGTTAGTATCCAATTTACGTCGAGGTTGCGTCCGCGTCTGTTATTTCAGCCAACCCTTGGTTTATGTGCCCAGACGGTCTAACCAACTAAGTTTATAAGTTGTAAGCTCCAAGGCGCAAAAAATGTTGACGTCCTTCAACTTTCTTCATTTAATATTATTACAATGAATATTCGAATGATCTTTTCTTATTAGCAGAACATTGAGACATTTACAAGGTATAATTACACTATTTATGCTCAATTTATCAGTTGTTAAATCATCTATATTAAAATTAACCTATATATTATTTTGTGTATTTAGGTTGTTCCAATTTCTGGTCTCCGAGTACGGGCGTCGACGCAGACCCTGCTTGTTGGGTCGCCTACCCCAGTGTGGGTGGAAGCATCCGGGCTGACTGCGGCTGCGTTGTCCGCCGTGCAGCCGCCGCCGCGCGTTTCCTGGACGATTCGAGACGCGACCATCGCGAGACTTTACACTGGACACGTGGATGGTGCGTAAAACCAAGGATAATGACTGTGAATGTATAAATATTGTTCACAATGTTTAATTATGATTTAGAATTATTCATAATTTGTTTTATATATTTGATTTATGTTATTTTTATCAGTCAAATTAGTGTAAGAGAGTGGTACGCGGCTCCAATTGGTCGACGATTTTGTACTATTTTCCCGAGCTAATAAGTTCGCGCGCTTTTGTAAATTACTAGAGATTGAACCGCGGATAAAGGTGTGTGAGCAGTTTTAGCAATCGCTTGTTAGAGGCTGTTTCTAAAATTTAGTTCTTTTAAGTTAATATAAAAGGAATGTTTAATTTCCATTAAAACCACATTATTATACATACTAAATGATTAAACATTTTATGTAATATAAACATTCTGAATAATGTTAATATTTCTCTATTTGTGTTACTAACAGCTTCTTCTGGTGACAATGATAGTGTTTATATTTAGTTATTTGTAAAGTTAAATTTTTTTCTCTGCTATCCAGATTTGCTGGAGAGGTCCGTTGCAGAAGGGCTGTCTGTGAGGGTGGTGCCATTAAAACCGGGTGTCATAACAATTGATGTGCGAGTTCGAAATATGGGACAGGTAAAGTACCGTTTTATTTGAACACAACATGTTTATGCCGAATTTATTAAAAATAAAGCTTAGTATTTTTTTGATTTATTAATATTAAATAGAAAACATTTAAGTTTTATAAAACTTAATGAAAATGTTAAATATAACTTTATTATTTTTTGTTCTGACAAATCTGGCCTACGCGTCGTAGCGCCAAGAGCGATGGTTATGCTTGACCTCTCAGCGAGAACCAGCCTTCTAACAAACTCAATGCAAGCAGCCTTCATTTCACATCCTGCATTCCAGGTAGCCGAGACCCGATCGTGGGACAGCACCATCGAGATCCTCGGCGTTTCGGACATCCGAGCATCCGTCGAGGGCCGGCCGGGCGAGCTGGCCGCCGGGGGCCGGCTGGCCGTGGCGGTGGGCGCCTCGCTGCGGCTGAAATCGCTGCCCAGATGCGCCTGGGCCTCGTACGGCGAGGGCGTCCAAATCACCCCCGACGGCGAACTGACAGCCCTGAGGCCCGGCCACGGGGTGCTGGTCGCCCAGCACAAGGACGAAAGGAACAACATATATAGGGAAACCGTGAGTTACTCTTTTCAGATATTAGTCCTTACCTCCTTACTATCCGGTTAACGGTGGCTGGGCCACGCAGCAGCCTCGACTGTTGCACGAATGGGCAGGCCCTTCCGGGTAAGTACCACGGCCTCACAGAAGACCAGCGTAAAATGGAAGTATGACAAATACTTTCGCGTTTCGTCTGGTGCGTGAGGTAGCCGGAGCCCAATTTTCTAAAGGTTGTCAACGCATCTGTAACCCTCGGGTGTAGCAGATGTCCATGGGCGCCGGTATTCACTTAACAGGTGACCCGTCTGCTCGTTTGGCAACTATTCGCATAAAAAAATCCTTACTAAAATTATAAAAGCGAAAGTTTGTATGTATGGATATGGATGTTTGCTACTCTTTCACGCAAATACTACGCATGCATTTCAATGAAACTTTACAACAATATAGCTTATACCGGATCAGAATAACACACAGGCTATAATTTATATACATATTTTTGTGTATCTGTCTGAATGTTACGCATTCAGAATATTATACGCATACGTAGTCGCGGGCATCAGCTAGTATAACATAAAATTATTCAAAGCCGAGGAGGTAATGATGATAAAGAAATCACACTCTTAGTAAGAGGCACTAAAATCGTGATTCATATGAGAAGAAAACCATCTTACTCTACTATTTTAACACTTCAGAAATGACATTAATGTTAAACTTTTTTTTAATCCCACTTTTCTAAGATCTTATGGTCAACAGGTTCTTATTTTTCTTTTACGAATTACTATCATTTATACACCTAAATGTAATTAGTATTATCAAAAACGACAGGCCACAAATAATTGAAAACGTGCAAGGTCTGAAAAAAAAAAGTTTGACTGTTACGGGTCCATTCGACAACAGATCGTCCACGTGGAGGCGTCGGTGCCCCGCTACTGCACCGCGGAGCCGTCGGGCGAAGCGGACGACGCCGCGCTGCGGCTGGTGCTGCGGAACAATCTAGGGAGGGCGCTGCTCGCACCGGAAGCGAACGTGTCCGTAGCGTCGCCCGTTTCGACGCACATCAGACGTGCCGCTAGCAGGTAAGTCCGATCACACGTTCATTACTCTATGCGACCCGCACGTGTACAGTCGAGCGCGGAACATCCCATTTGATTGCCAAAAGGATTTCTGCACTCGAACGTACCAGCGGATATTTAAAAAGTTTTCGTTAGCATAATCTCAAACAATGCTGTACGCAACTGTACACGAATTTGTGGTGAGAATAATTCAAATATATGAAAGTTCATTTGTTTTACGCGGCTCATAATTGCTGGTTATTACAAAATGAACAAAAAGATAAAGAATGACATAACTTCTTTTCTTAATTTCTTTTTGCCCTGAAGTTGCGGTGTACTTACAGATGATTGTCGACGACGGGGATTTATTATCTGAAACTTGGTTCGCATAATTGCAGACGTTCGCCATTTGAGACTTATATAAGTTTCGATGTCTATCCCTCGAGCTTGCTAATCAATTTAATATGCAGTAGATATTTTGATTGACTGTGCGGCGGTAATGTCTCAACAATTATCTCGGCCATTAGCTAGCCTGCTTAGTCCCGCTAGACGCCGAATAGCCGAAGCTTAATAAGATATTTTTTTTTCACATCAGAAAATTAAACGTTTAATTACAAAATTAGTATAAACAAAAAATAATTAATATTTTATTTGTTTAAAATGATTTTATAAGAACATTACGACTGTTTTAGAATAAGAAATACAAACTCGAATAAACAAACAACACCCTGACCGGGCACAATTATTTGTGGGTTATACAAATACTTGTGTATACCTTAGAACTACGTCAACGGGGTGATAGATTTTTTGATTTGTTAATGTAAAATTTTTAAAATTAATTCCAAGTAACTAACCTAACCTAACCTATGTGATACCTATGTATTCGTTTATATTTCAGCGTGACAGGCAGCGAAATAATATTTACCGGGTTGGATGCTTTGGGAGTTTTCACCAAATTCCAGGCTACCGCAAGTGGAGTCACCGTCACGGACGAGGTTATGGTCGTCGGCTCTGAATCCTACGCCAATCGAATTGTTGGTTCGTATTAATTTCACTATGTATGCTTATGAATTAACATTTAAAGATTTCCCGAACAGTCTGACAGTAAATTTTATATGATATTATAATTTATTTAACGATGGTAACATAATATATTTATCGAAGATATTTTCCTTCGCTCGCTCATTATCGAATTAACGGGCGAGCGAAGGAAATCATCTCGAGGAAGCCTGGATATCTTCGAAATAATAACAAAAAAATAATATTCCTGGTGAATGTGAAGTCCGGTAATACGCAGTGGGGTCGCGTAGTGAACTGTGCCCTAATAACCTCTGTACAGAGGAGGCCTTTGCCCGTTATAGGAACATTCATATAGGCTGTTACTTTGACGGATCAATTCGACGGTTCGGCTCGCTAGCAGTATGTTCGTAAACAGCCGGCGGCAGCTGGGCGGTGTGCCTGGAGGGGGTCGGATGGCGCTCCGCCGGCGGCGTGGGGCTCCATCCCGGCAACGGCGTCACCTTGGCGGTGCTGCTGCGCGACGCCCCCGCCCGCCACTCGCTGCGCCAGGAGCGGCCGCCCGCCGCCCTCACCATACACCAGGCGCCCCTCGACAAGGTACCCAGTGGCCCGCGCGATATTCGTCTCTATTCACCGAACGCGATGCACGCTTTTCCCTTGGCATGACCGTGGCGCTTACGACCGTTCAGATATGGTGGGATTTAAGCTCCTCACGATGGGATTTAAGCTCCTCCTCACCTCACGATACACCAGTCGACCCTTAACACGGTGGTTCGCGCTATATTCGCCTCAAATGACAGAAAGCGGCGGTTACGACTGTTCAGATATGGCGTGATTTAAATAATCGGCGTACCTACGTTCGATTTTATATGATATGCTTGTACGGTACTACGCTCTTTTCATTAACGTTTCTATTTGGTTGTTTCAAATGAATGGATTGAATTTCATAGTTAAGAATTTTATAGATAATAAGCAATCTATTCATTTTAATCAAGATGCGAGACAAAATTTGGTCTAATTTATCACGAAAAGCTTGGTATGTCTTCCAAATAATTTCTTCAAATATTAACTTTCATTTGTTATTGGTAATGATTAAAAACTTGTTTGCTAGCATTATGTATTGAACATATTTATATATTCTAGATGGAGTTTCTTCCCGGGGAGTGGCCTTCATCAATGGTCCCATTAGCCTTCGAGGCAACTGGCCTAACTTCAGGCCCATTACTGTGTACTGAAGAGCAGAAATATGCATTGGAGGGAATAGAAGTGGAGCTTCCTTATATATGCCGTACTAAAGCTCCATATACAGCTCAGCCTGTGCTTGACATACCTAATGGTGAGTTATATTATGCAAATGTGAAATAAAATGACCGACGATTAATATTCTTACCATTTATATGATTTACTAAAAATGCAATAGAACGAATGTAGATAAATATTCAGATTTTTGCGCCATGAGTTCATTAATCGCTTAGCTTAGTTGGTAAAACGTCTGTGCGAATCCTGCAGCGCCGAAAGTTTTTGTTCATTTATCTACAATAACTCACAATTTGATGATTTAATTGACCCGAATGGCGTTGTGGGTAGTGGACCTGAATCCTGCGCCAGAGGGTGTGGGTTCGATCCCCACTACGGGAAAAATATTGTGTGATGAACATGGTGTTTTTCTAGTGTCTGGGTGTTTATATATGCATAATATGTATTTATTTACAAAAGAAAAGTATGTTTAAGTATATTTATCAGTTTTCTAGTACCCTTAGTACAAGCTTTGCTTAGTTTGGGACTGGAAAATGTTGTTTAAAAAATGTGTCCTAAAATATTTATTAAAATATTTATTTTATTATTTATTAATTAATTAATATCTCTTCAACATTGATGAAATTAGTTCAATATATATCATAGCCATAATTTTTTCAGGCCAGCTGGGTTGCTCAATAATACCGGCGACGCCTATAGTTGAGCCGTCAGAAATAGAGTTGTGCGCCGAATGGGGTGCAAAGAGGACCTGCACGAGGGTCCAACTGCTGCCGCCAATACGGGTGTCGAGTAACAAGGTGTCCTTGGCTGAATCGCCGGCTGCATTCACCGTAACGGGCCACCACCAGGCGCTGAAACTGGTCAAGCTGACCACATCGCCCGGATTGAAGCTTGACGTGTCGTCGAAAGACGGTGAAATAACCGTTACCGTTAAAAGCGAAACAACCGTGTGCGGTGTTGGACTTGTGCACGTCATCTCAAGGTTGACAGCGCAAGACGTCACCGTTGAAGTGGAGATGGAGTGCGATATCGGTTGCGGGACGCTGCTCGGCGCCATTTTCTCGCTGCTAAAGCCGTATTTGCCCTCGTTAATGACGATTGTCGCCATCGCAGCCGCATATCTGTATGGTACGTGTATATTTTTGCAGCAAGACTCAGCCATTTTCCAATGTCAAATACTAAACTTCCTACTACATACTTAGACTTTATTCCCTATTTATCTATCAGTACTAGTGTCACAGATCATATCATAGCTGATAAATTCATGATTTACGCGATTACGCATTGCCTTTTATAATCTCACGCCTCAGTCTGTACCGTGACGCCAAGGGTTCGACACGTCGGGTGGTGAAATTAAAAATAAACGCGATAAATGCGTAAAAATACTTTCTTTCTGTCATAAAACGTCAAAGGTTTCCTATCCCTAGAACTTACATCTGAAGTCGCACATTGATCTCGTTATTGGAGCAGAAATAATTGTCTTTCTTTTTTTGGTTCACCGAGTGCTATTCAAATCAAATCAAATATATCATTATTCAAATAGACGCTTACGCGTTCTTGTGAATCGTCAGATTTCACATAAGAAATTATTTTCGTTTTCCTGTTCGCAGTACAACAGCGGCTGCAGCGCAAGGGCCAGATCCGCTTGCCGGAGGCGCCGCCATCGCAGAGCGTGCTGCCGCCGCAGTCGCCGGCAGCGCAGCCCCGCGCCCGCACGTGGTCGCGCAGCCCGTACTCCACCAACGGGCCCAACATGCCCAACATGCCCGTCTACGGCGATGCGAGCGTGCTGCCCGACAACAGTTTCTCCCCGAACACCACCCGAATGCACTCGAGATTCCTATAGCAGGCGTAACGGAGGCCCTGCGGTAACTGAGTAACGCAGGGCTGCGCTGTGGACGTGTAGTTGAAAATAACCGACTTTTACCGCCAACTACAGTATGATGCAAATGCCTTAAGTTATTATAAAAAAACTGCAAGTGTTTTATTGATGTGAAAATCATCAATTGTTATGACAAAGGACTGTGACCGTGACTTCTTTTTGATACATTAATCACATATGTAGTGTTCCCTGAATTTAAGGAAACCATCAGTAGTTAAAAAACAAAGGATTATTGTGTGCACTTGATTAAAACTGATACTGTGATTTTTCCTGTGTAAAACTTGTACCTCATATGTGTATAGTGTGATGTTTTTGGTAATCTGTGTTTCTTCTTTTATTTGTTTCAATTTATTGTAATTATAGGATCTCAGGATGCAGACATGATTTTAAAGAAACAAAAACCTCAATCACAGCCATATTATTTTTTATAGCTAGAATGTGATTTCTATTATATTCAATATATTTCTATTTCTAACATAGGTATCAAATATTGATTTTGACAATAAATCATTCTTCCAATGAAAACAACTAAAAGAATAATAAAATCTAAACTATATTATGTAGTTGAAAACAATTGATCATTTTTTAGTGGAAAGGAAGTCTCATGAGTTTCGACAATATTTTATGAATAAATGATGGGTCACATGTTTTATTGTCCCAGTTGAAAATAATAAAAATATGGCATGATCATTAAACATATTTTTATCAATAATAATGTTACTATTTCATACAAATCTCATTGCATCCATCCTATATGTTATTACACTAAATTCTGAGGATTAAAATTTTACAACTACTCCATGATTTCATCGAATTTTACTGTTCCTGAGAATAATTATTGTCATATGTATTTGTTTAAACTTGTTACAATAATAAATTACTTCTGGAGCTCATTTTTCTCAGACATATTTAACTTCAAATATTATATGCCATATCTACATGTACATTCATACCATTTTGACGAGGACAAATTTTTTGACTATGTTAAATCTGTCATTTAATTCGCTGTATGTATAACAAAATATGACAGTTTTTAACCAAAAAGTGTGTGCATGTATATTTGCATGTGAGTAATTTGACTTAAGTTCAAGCAAAACTAATGGATTGAAATCACATGAATAGTAAATGGCTGAACTCAGTTTTTTTTAATATAATTTACTTATATTTCGTCTAAGTACCAAACTGAGTAATACCAATGATACAATATTGTATTTTACAATTCCTGCCTATGAAATCATAGTTTTGCTTGTGTTAAATAAATGTGTGTTAAGTGGTGAGTTTGTATTGTGCTTGTTTCAACACCAGTGAAATGCTCACTGTAGATCGTAGGAATCATTTCTTTTTAGTTTTGTATCATCTATTGGAGAATATTTTTAAGTTAATACCAGGTCACTGATGACAGGGTTGGCAGGGGAATATTGATGGTGCAAGACAATGTAATTTTGCTTGCACATTCTTTTCTTTTTTCAATCAATGTTCTTTTTTTCTTTTCCCTCAATGCCACACACCAATAATTGATGAAAACAATTTGTAAGAATTATTATTATAATTCTTACAAATGGAAGTAATAGTTCTTTTATATTGCATGATAGGTCTCTTATTGTGTTTCTTGATTGAAAATTTAATCATTTCGTTATAGGAGTTCTGCTATTCTTGTTTATTAATTTTTATCATAATTTAGAGCATGTATGCATTGTTGTATCTAAAAAAAGAAAACATTAGTATTTCATTATGAATTGTAGCAATTATTGAGTCAGTATTGCTTAATTCATCATTTACCATCTCATATGGTAACTGGATAAATTTACGATTGGACATTGCTATGTGAATGTTAATCATATGAATTGGAAATTGTTACAGACGTTACTGTTCATCCAAAATCCAATGATGAATAGGAAATAATTTTATTCCTCTTATAGTTTTTAAAATGAAATACATATGTATATTTTTTTGTAAACATAAACAATTTATATACAGCTTGTCGTTACAATCGCGACAATAAATGAAAACACATATAGAGGATAACTTTTTAAAATTGTATTAAGCTTTTACATTCACTAAACAACAATATTTACCTAGTTATTAAATTTTACAAAACAAACATTTTTAGAACACCCTTATGTATAAAACTGTAACGTAAAGCTCATTTGTAAGTGTCAAAAAGTATATGAATGGGTTGAATGAATTTAAAAGAGATAAAACATACTGTTAGAAGGAGAGACTTGTAACGCGACGCTGTGTCAACGAATGAAAAAGACTCTGAATGTATGAATCAGTCAGTTGTAGCTGTATAGATGTTACAAATTTTGTTTCTTTTTTTTTAAATTAATTTGTTTGATTTTTTTTTAATTATGGCTTTTTTAAAAGATTGTATTTTTTATGATTATTGGCAAGTAGTGTTAGTAGTGTGTTAATTTAATATCGCGGTTGTAATTACACGCTGCATAAAGTCTTTTTTTCGCACTTAGTAATATGATTCTGGCAACTATCAAAGGCTTTGTGACTTCACCTCCCTTAATGGGGTTGATATTTTAAAAAGTGCATCTATCTTAACAATTGCAATAATATGTAATAAATTCTTCTATCTTTTTGAATATAATATAAAAATATTAACTTTAAAAATTAAAGGTAAAAACCAGAAATAATCATAAACCGAAAAATATTTAAACATTATATATACACTTACCGTATTAGTAATCATTTAAAAAAATTGGATGAGATTGTGAAATGTGGAAAAATACACGTAGAAAAATAGACTTACTGATTATATTCTGTTTCGAAAAATAACTAAAAATTCGCGGCGGTATTGTCATGATTAAAAAATAGTCAAACATGACTAATGCCAGTTTGTAATTACAAAATTTATATGTATGGCGATCTCCATTAATGTGTATGAATCTGCCCTAATCATTTTGAATGTATCTATCATAGACATATTTGTTATTACGTTAAATACGATTGCGATAGAAAACTGTAAATTTTTTTAGGAATAAATTATTTTTTTATTAATTAAATAAATTTCAGTTTGATTTAGGTATATCATTTGCCGAAGTGTGCGATATAAATAATGTGCCAATCGTTGAATGAAATTGATGACCATGACCATGTGCCCATTGGTCTATTAATGTTCTCTTTATAAATAGCTTATATTTGGTGTTGGTGATATGATTGTTTGCATACTATAAAACATATTTAACTGTGGTACAATAAATATCTTGAAAAATAAAAAAACTTCTGGAAAATGTGCCAAACTATTTGAAAGAAAACTACCCATTAGAGATCCTGAAAAAGCGAAGAGAGTACTAAATCAACTTAAAAAAGTTAGTCCTTTTTTACACTAGGCCACAAGGCCTGCACTAATTATGAAAAACTAATCATAATAAAGGATAACAACAACAAACTGTTCGTAATAACTCAAAAGAAACTTGTCTCAACCACCGAAAGATAATACATACAAAAGACAAATTAGGTAATTAAGATAAAAAACAAGTAAAAAGAACAAGTTATCAAACATGAAAGATTTTATTATACAAAAACCTAAGTTTGACTATAATCCCACCGTTAATTCTCAAGATCAGCCTGAAAAAATAATACGCAAAAAAACGCCAAATAACAATTACAAACGGCCCCTTCGACTACATAATCCACTACGGATGGTCGCTGCGTCAGAAATCAACCAAAACCCATAACCCTACAGTAGGTAACAAATACACTAATAATTATTCATTCCACGAGGTAAATAGTAACATAACGTCTATCAATCACAGTTTGATGTAGCTGATGGACCATATTCCATGGATGGACCATGACTTCATATTTTGTTATACTGGGTAAACACGCGGATCATATTAATGGTGTGGGTTTCATAGTTAAAAAACATCTCAAAAGAAACATGGTGAGTTTTAGTGGATTATGATTTATGACATAACGAACAGGTGTTCTCAAACTAAAAATGAATGGATATGAACTTGATATACTACAAGAGGTATCCACCCCACAGAGGCTTCAAATGATGACGAGGTTGAGTATTTCTATCACACTACTAAAAAAACTAAGAAAATCTTGTAAGAACATAATAGTCATGGGTGATTTTAACTCTAAAATATGGAAAAGTAGACCTAGAACGCTTGATAATAAAAAGCTACTGTTACGGCGTGAGAAATAATAGAAGCGAGCGCCTGATATACTTTGTAAACAAAAGCAAACTGAGTACAATAAACACATTCTTTAAAAACCTAAGATGGATGTGGAAATCCTCAGACGGAATCACTTAGTATAAAATTTACTTCATATTAACAAATCTAGATACAAATGTTCAAAGTGTACAAGTTTTAAATATAATATTCCCACGAGGCATTAAAGGCACCTCTTCTACTGCGGTAGATAAAGAAAAGCCGTACAAAACACACGAACCCATTAAGAAATTCCTTAAAAAATGATTCATTCAATGAAAAAAATATCAACATATAAATTATCTTTAGAATTTTTTTTTCTCTAATACAAGCTATGATAAAATCATCCCTCGGATATAGAGGCTATATTTTTCTATATAAAAGTATATAAAGTTATACCACGTGGTATATAAAATTATACCACGAAACTCATGAATCGGACAAAACGACGAAATTAAAACAAACACGAACACAGAAAAATTAACTTAAAGCTCTATATAAGCTTGTATAAGTAAAAGCGATGACTGCAAGTGTTGGTCCGAGCATTTGTAATCTTTTTGCAAGACGATTTGCGGAAGTTTATACTAGAGATTAATTACAATCGGACTCAACGTACCCCCAATGTCATAATAGTTTCAGTTTGTCAATCAGTGGCCTCTGTATTCAACATGAATCTGTAGTACGTGCATTAAAATCTTTGGACGTTGATAAAGGTTTTGGGCTTGACTGCACTAGTCCAATCTAATCTTAATGTGCCTCTCTGTTTCATATAAAATTTCTCTCTGGCTA